GGACGAGTGCAGGTGGCATTGAATATTAGTGAGCATAAATGTGAGGGCTGAGTGAGCACAATGTCATAAAGTGTGGCCGCGTTGCCGATAAATCCGAGAACTATGCCGTAATATCCTTTAATGTTTTAGCTAACATTTTTATTTCATTCCACGAACTGATGTTCACGATAAGTCGGACTGAAACTCGTCATCTACCAGGCATTGGCTGTTTAGTTGGGATTGGATGATGATGTAAATAATAAACCAAATTATTACAAATGCATTCAAATATATTCAAAAAGACACACAAAGCTTTCGGTTCATGAAACCTTGATCACTGTGATCAAGGTTCCATGAACCGAAAGCTTTGATCACTGTGATCAAGGTTCCATGAACCGAAAGCTTTGTGTGTCTTTTTGAATATATTTGAATGCATTTGTACTAATTTGGTTTATTATTTACATCATCATCCAACCTGTCATGGATACTCAACATTAGTTAGGATTCTTGAGTAAAACTCAATTGCTGATACGCTATTAGAAGCTTACACTAAACCATAATTACATTAAGTGAAAAAAGAGCTGGTTCTTGAGGTAGCCTAACCAAGTAGACAACTGCAGGGCTAATCACCGGTAATAGCACGGCCATCCTCCTATTCGACTTCAGGATGAACCTATTGGAGTTCAGTTTGATGTCATCGTCAAATTCATATAGCGCTCGATACTTTCTATTCCAGTATCTGTCTGCCGTTCCATCCCTCCTTCCCACACTACTTGTCAGTTGCTCCCTCATTTTTGTATGACTCCGTGCTGGGGATTGATCAGTTGTGGTTCCATCTCCGCTAAATATTCATGCACATTGAACATTCATATTCTCATACTGAGACTGCATAGTTGCTTTTAAGGTGACAGCTAAATAAGCCGAGCCAGAGACGGCATTTAGAACCGTTCGGTTTTCTGTTGCTTCTGCCTGCCTTTACGGTACGACGAGCTGTCATACTGCTGGAGCTGGACTAACTCGAGCTCGAGCGGTTGCAGACGAGGAGTACTGGAAAGTCTGATATGTGTTCATATGCCGATTTCAAGCCTGCGCCATCCCAGCGGCCATCACAACATTTATCCAGCACTGGTGTAGTGTTGTGGCAGTGTTAAAGGGACCCTCCCACCTTAACATTAGTTTTGAGTTGAGATAGCCAAATTGGTGGCCATGGCCTGCAAATACCGGTTTGGGCACTCACAACATCGAGAAATGCTTTAATTCGAAGATATGGAATTTCAAACTTGCAGTTTTCGGATTCTAAGGGGCTAATGCATTAGTATGCCCCCTTAGAATTTGTGACGTCAGCGGAGATCTAACGATTTTTAAATCTTAGACTAAAACCATCGTTAACACGTGATGGTATACGCTGCTTTTCGCGCAACGTCTGCCGCACTTTAAAGGAAATAGTTCACTTTTTAACATGGGTTTTGAACTGGAATAGCAGTTCTGTAGCTTGGGCTGAGACGAGCATAAATCAGGAGCTTTTACAGCCCAACGATCACCCTAGGCAAAGATATTCTATTTCAAAGGTGTCTTGCGTTGAGGATGTGTGCCTTGCATATATTTCCATCCAGTATGAAAAGAGCATGGGTCCCGAAAATTCTTCAGAAAGTAGAGAAATTATCTACAAGAACTCTAGAGAAATTCTCGTACTGATCAATTAGGACATTCAGGGGAACATTATCAGATCGAGCAGATCGCCCAAATGCCGGTGGCTGCGATAATTTCTCTGTTTCTGAAGAATTTTCGGGACCCATGCTCTTTTCATACTGGATCGCGTGTGCCTTACAGAAACTGAAAAGTTCTTCCTATATCAAAATATAGAAAATAATCTTTTGTTATAAAAAGGTTTTATTTTCTTTGCTGATTATTTTGAACATAAAAAATCATAAATCCGTTGCAAAAAAAATAATTTCGTGAAAGTGAACTATTTCCTTTAAGGCTGCCAAATTATTGCTTCCAAATAAAGTCGCTAGTAACAGGGAGATCCCAAAAAGTAAACAAAAGTAAAAGCCTAATATCTTGAAAACCAGTGAATATTTTTCGGTGAAATTTGGTAGATATTCGTTTTCGCTCTTTCTGAACCAAGGGACATCACTTTCATGCCAATTCATTAACTTTTTTGAAGGTGGGAGGGTCCCTTTAATGTTTGCGTTGGTGACGTTGATGGCGCTTGTGTTACGATGACTTGACACTGTTTGTAATGCGAGGTGACGCCGCAGGTTATCGGTGGTTTTGGTTCATTCTCTCTTCACTTCTCTTCTCGTTCAAGACATGTATCGTTTCGGGTTTAGTTAATATAATGTAACTGGTTTGCTCAGCAAGACCTTTTGGATGAAGCAGTCGGAGTCAGTGAGATTGGGTACGGTTTGGAAACGTTCTGAATTGTAGACAGGAAGACACTACAACTGGCCAGCCACAGCACCGATTCGGAGTCACACTGCCACACCATCACATTATGGGCTGGCTCTCTGTCGCAGACAACGCCTACGCTAAATCACAGTAGTTGATTGATCACAGTCGTTACTTTCAGTCACTATCGTTCGTTTTTCAGTCACCAACGAAGCTAGCCAATAGTCTTCGCGTTCAAGTTCATCGTTTGTTCTGCAGCCTTTTCAGACTGCTCGTCAGTCTCTGACGATTCTGACTTTCTTCACCGATTGAAGCATAATTCACTCTAACAGTTTCCACTCTCCACGTCCACCAAGTGTAGCACGGTTTACTTCAACAGTCCCCACCAACTGTGGCACATTTCTTACTGCGGTCTTCATTCGACCGCCCGACAATCTTCGGTAGCTGCCCTGCAGTGTCCGCCAACAATCCACCACTTTCACGGAGAGCTGTCCAACAATGTGCTCTTCAGCTTCCATCGTGCGAGGTCAACAGTCTTTACCCCCCCCCCCCCGTTCCCCCAGTCTGTTCTTCATAGTTCATCGCGTCCGTCTGGATATATTTCAGTTTGAGCTTAACAATTATGTTCTTTGGCCCACCATCAAATGCCCCGCGGCTACCATCGCCTGTCCCGTAGATTTAAGTAAGATAAACCCACGGTCTGTGTCGTAGTTCCAATCGTTCATCGCTTATTCTCAGGCTGTCCTTTCGTTCCAAGTTGTACTGCAGCCTCCACCATCTGTCCTGCGCTCGCTCCATCTGTCTCCCAATCTCCACCTCCATCTTGCAATCCCTGCTGTCCATCCTGCAGGGTGCAGACGCATTGAGTCGGTGCCAGCTGGTGTTGCGGACGGCGGTCGGTGGAGGCCGACCTGCCCCGGGCGGTGCTACCGACTCGGCGGCCCGGCCAGCTGACGGTGGCGGCATTCTTGGCAGTCGCGCCGGCAGCCCCGAGACCCGGATGTCGCTTGGGACGGAGAGCGAGAGCCCACACCCGGGCCGCCGCCGCCCCCGGCTGGAGTGGCCTGGTTGGGCCGGGGGTGGAACTGGAGAGGTGGGGAGGGGAGGGGGCGGCAGCTGGAATAGCGGGGGACTGGATCCATAATAACAAACCAAAGCAGGACTATTTGAAGGAAGAATGTGTGCCTTAAGTGATGAACCGAAGTCTCCAAAATGCTAATCGGATTAAAGGTGGAGACGACCACATTACCTGATTGCCTCATCGCAAGTAATTGATGTTTTTTATATATGTCGAATGAAAGCTGTCCATCGTGATAATGAATGAGCAATAACTCTAAATGGCATTATTGCAAAAAGTTACATGTTAAAAGTAAAAGGTTAAAAAGTTAAGTCGTAAAAAGTTACTTCCTATCACCTGAAAGCAATGGCATGTCTCCTTATCATCAAAATTAGGTATATTTTGCTCAGCAGGTGACAGTGGCGGATCCAGGGGGGGGGGCAAAATGGGCATTTGCCCCCCCCCCCAAACGGCATAATTACGCCAATGGACGATGCATGGAAAGAATCGATAAATTGTTATGGTTTGCCCCCCCCCCCCCCAAAAAAAACTATGAGCTGGATCCGCCTCTGGCAGGTGACTTTGATCAATCGAGCAATTTGTAATATCATTTATGTACTTAATGTGGCTTGAGGACATGACAAAGTTAGTCGTTCTCGGTTCTAATTGTGTGCGAGAGGTAAAACACAGTTTGTAAAATGGCGGTGCAGTTTACCGTCGTACCTGATAGGTTCAATGCAAAGAAAGTCATTAACATTTACGCAACTTAGGTACAAACAATTAAATGTGATCGATACTCAAAGCCAGGTGTATTAGCAATAGCACTACACTTGCAGAACAGTCAGTCCTTTCAACACCATTGATCCTTTGACTGAACCGTGTGTTCGTGTGAATGAGTTGGCAAACTATCAGTCGGCTCCAGCAAAAGCTGCAGACTGTTTGTTTTGAAAATTCACCGCTATTGAAGACCATTGGCAATGAGTTCCAACGTCAGAGAAAATGAGCTTTCATCGCCAGTAATCAAACAAACGAGCCTAAACCAAACAAAGCGTTGCATCATTGCAATGGGTAACGATTATGTCATACGCAAATCGCTTTTACACCACGCAACATCGACACACATGGTGCAGAAGACTGCTCTGAACTGATGCGTTGATTTATGTAACCGATGTTCGATTCAGGCTCGTAAACGAAAGTCTGACATGTGTTTGACCCATAGGTCGCCTGCTCTACCCATTAGAGCTTGGGTACAGCTAAACGCTGGACTCTGGTGGAAAACAGCTTGAATCCTAGCAGACAACTCAACCGGACTGGCTTCCAACAGAAGGAAAATGGACTTTTTTTAAGTAAAAATAGCCGGTATCTCTTTTATGTCGCAATACAGGTGGAAATAGACGAGGCCGAGGCCCAAAATTCTCACTGACGTTTTTCTCAATTCTCACTCATTCCGAGCACCAGAACGAAATCACTTTCCGTCACGACCACCACGGACTTCACGAAGACACATTGACGCACCGACACAAAGTCACTGACAATCACCACAGCTGGACCGTCCCTCAGTGTCGGAACTTACCTCCATCCTGGCCAGGGCCATCTGGTCGGTGTGGTATTCGACCTTGACATCCGACTGGGCTCCTCCAGAGGATGTGTACGTGTACTTGCGCGTGGTGGTCTTGGAGGAGGACATGGTGGCTGGCTGGTTGGTCGGTCAGTCGCGCGCTGGGTCGGCGCTCCCGTCCGTCGCACTCGGCCCGTCGCGTCGCTCGGTGGCCCGCGTGTCCGATCGTCGCCGCGCCGCCACCGACGCGACGACGGCGACGCGCCGCGCGGCCACCGCGCATGCGCCGGCCACGCTCAGGTTACTAAAGAAAGCACGGCCGGCGAGCCTTTTATAGAGTGCGGGTGTTGGCGGCTTCCGCGCCCGTGGTCACCGTGCTTTAGTGAGTCACGGTGACGGGGACACCGTTGTCTGATGGTGCATCCAGACACGCCGCTGCAGGGGCCAGCGGGGTTCAGTCGCCGCCCCCGCCAGGCGCGCACCGTGACCGGCTGTCACATTCTGGCCCGTGACAGAGAATGCATCCAAAAGACGCCAACTATTTTGACCATTTAGTGGCAAGCGGGACTTTTTGTTGTTCTTGAATCTTGTAGCTCCGGCGCTGTATGGGTTGAGGAGTTGAGCGCCGCGTATGGTGGACAAAACGGTATCTTATCTGCCGACTCCTGGCTAGCCGATTAGCCAGGGGCATCTATCTATAAAGGAACTTCCATGGTCGAGTGATAAGCGTTAAACATTACGTATACGATGCATATTGCATTGAAGGAAACTTCGCTAACCGGCATAAGGCGCGAATATGTTTTTCTTCTTTACAGTTAATGGTTCATAGCACGTCGCTCACCTCAAAAGCGAAGCCCTCACTTACTGCGACCTTTTGTCCTTTATTTCGCTCACAACACCGAGTCGATGCTCCAAAATCGGGTCCGAGAACGTGTGAACATGAGAGAGGAGCTGCCATGCCGAGCAGCTACATAATTAGCACAAGGTCTAGGACGTTATACAAGCGGCTGAACCAGCCGTGCCGATCAGAGGGGCATGGATGAGTTTGTTGCTTTGTTTGTAAATGTTTTAACAGGAATAAGCCTAATGGCTCAGAAGCGATCATCGTGTTTCGACAAGTGTTGTAAGCTTCTATAGGGCGACGACAACGTGTGACGTTTCATTGACACAGCAGACTAATTACTTCCTGTCGACCGCATGACCTTAGCATTATAAGTCAACCCTCACCGGACCTATTGGTTTTCTACATACGCGCCGGGCGAGGGGGGAGGGGTATGACCCCCTCGCCGTTTCGCCCCTGAGAGCTATAGCCTCGCGGAAAAAAAACGACCGCACATATACGTCGTTACGAGACGCAGCGACTGATATCAGATTTTAAGGTCTCAGTTCAACCGGTGACCTCTGAGGTGAGGTCAGGTAAGTGACCCAGGGTACGGGTTCGGTTTTTGATAACTTCGCAAAAAAGGCCGCAGAGCCGCAATTTTGGCATCATCATCGTGCTTGCCTAGCTTAGGCGCGTCGAATGGTATACTTTTTCTTCGGATGAGGTCAACCTGAGGTGTTGATCTCGGGTCAAGGTCAGGTCAGAGTCCCCAGGTCTCTAAGTTGGTCGACGGAGGCCATAGCGCATGCCTATCATTCGATTCGGCAGGTCTCTCTGAGATTTGTGACTTTCTCGACTCGCTAGCTCAATTTGATCGGGAGCTATTGACGAAAAACTCTTAACACGTGCCACAGTGGTGGTCTCAGCCAACTTCGCCCTAGTGGGGGAGGGGGGAGGGGCATATGTTACCACCCACCTATAACTCAAAAACTAAGAGGGCTAGAAAGACGCAGTAAAAAGCAGTCGATAGCTCTCAATGCGTGCGTTTGAAAATATTTCGGTCATTTTTCATCTTAAAGCAATATTGGGGTCACTGGAGGTCATCAAAGGTCAAAATTTGCCAAATGTCATTATATTTTTCAGAAAACATGCATTTATCTCAAGAACTATGATAGCTAGAAAAACGCATGGAAAAGCAATTGATAGCTTTTGAACTCTTCTTTTGATAAGGTCATCATTAAAATTGGCCTCAGGTCAACGCCACGCACTGGCCTGACCTTAGGTCACGGATATAAAAAATCCGAGATATACAAATTATAGGCGCCCATAACATCATGCAATTCACCAAGTTTAAAACCTCTCTAAGAAACACTGCAGACTGGACATGATTGCAAACTTTTGTTTAGGCTTGGTCAACTTGACCTGGTGACCTGACCTGACATGATCTGGGGTCAAAAATTTCACACATTGTCCAAAATATATGTACAAAAGCTACTCCAAGCGGCGCGGCGCTATACGCGCCGCGGATTTTTATTCACACGCAAGAAACGCGACAGGGTGGTAACATATGCCCCTCCCACTGGGGCGAAGGTTAACCCTATTAGTGGCAGGGGTGGTTGTTTTTATCCACCCCTCAGGTTTTTCGGGAATATCTCCGAAACCGCTGAAGCTATGATGCTGAAATTTTCTGACTTTCCTTAAAACTGAATTGGGCACATTCCCTGAAAATTTCAAGTTCATAACTTTACCAGGGGCGGCTCCAGAGCACTGGGAATTGGGGGGTCCTATTCGTGAAGCGAGTCATTTGGGCGAAGATCACGATGCTGCACCAGTTTTACGAACAGTGAATGAAAGGTAGGTATCATGTGATAACATATACAAAGTTATTGTGCATCCTCTTTTGACACGTTTTTGCTATAATAGGCGGATCCAGGCGTCCAAAAAGGGGGGTTATTCTTTACCTCCCAACATAGGTGCCCTCCCAGCCAGCAATCCCACTCCGTTCCCGATCGGGATTTTCGGACTCAGCCCGCACCACCCCGATCGGGACCGGAGTGGGACGGGATTGGGAAATGAGACACTTTGTACGGGCTGGAACGGTCCGGATATCCCAACCTACCCCGCACGGCCGGTTGGGAGATCCCGCACGTATCCGGACCGCCTTATCACGTTTTAACAAGCGCTGAACTCCGATCCCGATCGGGATTCCCCAAATCTCCCCGCACAACCGGTTCGGAAATCCCGCACGCACCCGGATCGCCTTATGGCATTTTAACAAGCGATGAACTCCGATCCCGATCGGGATGTCCCAACTCGGCCCGCACGGCCGGTTCGGGAATACCGCAGGCATCTGACATATTAACCGCAGTCTCATAACCGCAGATTGCTGTTATGCAGATGCGACCACTTTGCTTGCGCCACCGCAACCCCCTCGCCTCTTCATTATTCTCCAATTCAACCTTTATACCTAATGCCTGCACGACAAAATGAATTACATTGGACACTGAAATATATTCACAAATTTACTGGTTGCACACAGGTCAATTTTTTACAAATTCACAGCCTGGCCAGCACATTCGTGGCGTCGGCCATCATCTTAGCGCCGCTGCAACTTGCAAGGCGCTGGCACAGCGGACTCACTTCCGGTGTTCACAGTCATTATAACAGCTGCCTGCGCCTTGTTCGTGTCGGCTCCTCTGCGGACAGTGTGTCCGTGTGCCGTCACGGGCTTCAGAGAGCCACCGCGAGACTATGTAGACGGCTGGCATCTGGTCGGGCGGTTCACCACTGTGCGAAGAGAGCATCTGAAAATGACCAAGAGGTAATTAATCAAAGTCTGTGACACACTAAAAATCACTAAGAAATAACCCACATCTGACATTTTACATGGTATGCCTGGTAATTCAGGTTTTCAAACCTACAATGCAACCATTAACGACACTTGACAATGAGACCAAACATCTTCTGTCCATGATAACTGATCAAGCATGCGACAGCACGATTGTAATTCACATGTCGTACAACCACAACGAACATAACAATTTTTATTACCTATAGCTTTCCCGCTCCCTACATCACGGATGAAGTGTGCACTACATATACTCACCCTGTTCTCAAAGACGGACTGATTTCCCTGCAACGACAACAGTTGAACCGACCGCTTGCTATGTAGAGCCAGTTCAAAAGCAATATCCTGAGGCAGCAGCTCAAAGGAGGGATAGACACTTGACCAACGCGGCAACGAGACTGGCCGCTGCGCTCAGAGGACGCGTCTGCCTGCACGCGGCCCATCTGATTGCTTTTCCAGGCTTTCTGGGCCACCGGATATGGTGCCCGAAGCGCCTTCTCAGATCGGTTGGGATAACAACGTAAATCACAAGCCTGTCTAAACATGGGATTCGAAACATGGGATGGGATTCGATTGGGCTATCCGTATCGCGTCCCAACCGATTAAGCATGCGGTCCGGAAATCCCGAGTCACCCCTACCGCCGGCCTCTGAGGTCCGGTATCGATTGGGACAACCCAAGCCTACCCAACCCGGTAGGGACAGGTCGGGACATCCGGAGCCTATCCTGACCGTCCCCAACCGCATCCCGGACGAATTGCTGGCTGGGCTGACACCGCCTATGCATGACCAATACAATTTTAGTCGTTCTCTCATAAGAAAATTGTAAGATAACAAGACCATTGCCACCCTTTTTAGAAACAGTACCAACAAAAACCTTATTTACTATACTTTTTGTGTACCCCCAATCTCAATGATCTGTATCCACCTATGATTTTTGAAAATGCATGTTTTTAGGATCCATGTGAATTCCTGGTTCATTTTCTATCGATCGGCAAAAGTTGCGTTAAGATTGGTTCAGAAAACTGGCCGTGATAAACAGCTTAAAATGTATCTGCAATTTGCCCGTTTTTACCCCCCTCTACCCCCCTATTGACATTTTTAATATTATTTTTTTTTAGAAATGTAGATCTCGTTGAGCGAAATCGAATGCCGTTTGAATTTTGAAAATCGGCCCGTTAGATCTCGAGATATCAAGGGGGGGGGTCGTAAACAGCCCCCCCTGCCACTAATATGGGGTAGCCAGGAGCCTGCCACTAATAGGGTTAAGACTTAACCCTCGCCCCGTTGGGGGGGGGCCAATTTGGCCCCCTGTGGTTTTTCCTGAATAGCAAGAAAACGGCGGCGCGCAGCGCCGCCAAATTTTCAGTACCTTCCCGGGCATCATTTTGACACCTTCACACCAAATTTCAAGTCTAAGGTCAGTCCAGGCATCGGTAAAATCCTTTTTGAAAGGATTGCATTCCCAATCCACATTCCTAGTGCCGAAGTGGATTGCATTCCTACCCGCAATCCCCTTTTTTCACTTGGATTGTGATCAAATCCGCAATCCTTTTTGCAATCCTGTTGTATTATTATGTGCACTAGTGGATCTGGGGGAGGGAGGGGGCATAGGGCCGTGCCTCCATCCCCAAATCACCGATTTCTAGTACCTACCTAGTCTTGCGAGTAATTCCTATATCTAAGACACAGGTATTTTATGGGAAACATTTTTTGCCTCAAACACCCCCACATTTAAACCTCTACCACTACCAGTGTTTTATATTTCTAAAACTCGCCTTCAAATACGTAATTTTGCCCTTCCTATGTAGTTCATCAGCGAATATTATTTTGAGCGTTTAAATTAAAAGCGTTTAAATTATTTCAAGTTTCGATGTAAAGCCCTTGATAGCAAAGTACATTAAGCCGATGAAGCCGGTCTCATAATTTTCAATCACAACAAATCATTTCAAAGCACTAATCAAACACAATCCGGATTGAATTGCAAAAATTGGAAGTATGATGCAATCCAATCCGCAATCAAATCCTGTTTTTTTTTTAATGGATTTCAAATCCAGGTGCAATCCACCAAAAAGGAATGCAATCAGGATTTTGCAATCCTGCAATCACACACTGAAAGAAAAGTACACCCAAAATTGGAATAATTTTACGGTGCCTAAATCTCCAACCCTAAGTGATCATTCTACTCCCCCGTGTAAACTGCTTTAACATGGGCGATTAGCGACTATTTTTACCACCGGGTGTTGTCAAATAACTCCCATGAGCTTAAAAATACACCCACTCTGGAGTAAAAGTACGGTGCCTAAAAGTCCAACCCTAAGGAATTATTTACACCCCCGGTGTAGGGGAGTAAAGGCGAATAAAGCATGCGATTTACGAGAGTAATATTGCACTCCCAGTGTAATAATATCAAATCGGATTTCACCCCCTGCTTCTGAGTGTAAAAAAAGTAAATAGCATAAATACACCAGAGTAAAAAAAAAGTTGAAGGAGTAAAAATAAATCACATTATAATTCACGTTGAAACAAAAACTCAAAAAGATAATTCTATGACTGAAAAGGCTTGGAGTAAAATTACCCCGAGTTAAATATACGCTACTGTTTCAGTTTACCCTCTGGTGTATTTCTATGTCTAGGCTGCAATGTAATGGTATATCGTCTGCTTATACATACTTTGAACCAAAATTCATGATGAAGTCAAACGGATGGCATGCGATGACCATTTCGGATAGTATCGTGTAACCATGAGATGTCAGATACGCTATGGGCAGGATACGCATTGTGAACGCGCGGTACGAGGGATCCGAAATTATGTACAATAAATAAAACAGTGATGTCTGCCAGTCGGTGCAATAAAACGTGACTGCTAATAATGCAAATAGTAATTAAGAAATATCATGTTTAACACATATCATGTATTGATCATAGTTCAATCACAGTACAATCACTGGCTTCGATCTCGATGAGTTTGATTACGTTATATCACAGACACTTTGATCACAAACAAACCACCCAATCACTTTGTTCTATATGTACATGGGGTTGCGCAGTGCGCACGTAAAATACCCGATTTGAAACTTGAATTGGCTAAGGGATAGTTAGCCCAGTTAGCTTCCAGCATAGTTAGCCAAATTGAATATTTTCATACAATGTGATACACGTTTGGGAAGACATTCTTCCAAGTTTTAGATAAATCCATTCACGTTCAGCTCAGTTGTGCTGTGCACCTCGACGTGACTCCTATCGTTTTTCAGTACTTTCTCGAGGCGCTCGCGGTACGCCAGCGCTGCTTTCTAGCGCATCTCGACGGTGATCTCTGCGAAGGCGGCTCTGAGCCGACCGTGTAACTTCGGAATGTTCGCCGTCTGCGTCAAGTATGCATACGACTTCACAGACCCCCACATGAAAAAATTCACGCGCGGGGTGAGGTTGGGCTTCGCCCAAACTGCCCTGGCCACCGCACTCGCCCAATTTGCCCTGGCCACTGCGCTAGCCCGACCTCACCCCGCGTGTGATTTTTTCATGTGGGGGTTTGTGAAGTCGTAGGCATACTTGACGCAGACAGCGAACATTCCGGAGTTACACGGTCGGCTCAGAGCCGCCTTCGCAGAGATCACCGTCGAGATGCGCTAGAAAGCAGCGCTGGCGTACCGCGAGCGCCTCGAGAAAGTACTGAAAAACGATAGTGGTCACGTTAAGGTGCACAACTCAGCTGAGCGTGAATGCATTTGTCTAAAACTTGGATGAATATCATCCCAAACGTGTATCTACGTATGTACATTGTGTGAAAATATCATCAAATTTGGTTAATAATCATGGAAGGTATTAAAGTTTCAATTCGGGGGTTTTCCGTGCGCCACCCTGTACTTTGTACTCTTGGCGCTTAAACATGAAAAACTTTGAAACATGAAACGCACGCAGACCACGCAGTATACAGTATACACTCTTCGTCTGTGGGTCTGTGCTAGATCTGAGCTGCCGACATGACAAGAGTGGCGTACCGCAATTGCCAGTACTCTCGCACGCGCATCTTGCACTCTACTCAGCCAGGGAGCACACTATCTTCTACGATGCTTTACTTAGTGAAATAGATGTTTAGGGCCTTCTTGTAGAGCACCTCGAAGAGGCACTTGCATGGCCAACAGAACGGAAGATAAAACACGGCATGAGTTGCAAGGATTGTGGCAACTTCACCGACCTTCGACTGTGGCAGCTCGAACTCGCTCTCTGAACGTTGAGGCGGGACGACTGAACACTCACGGAGCTCTGCTCGTTCTTCAGATCGTCCAGCGTCGCCCCGCGCCCGTAGGCGGGTAGCGCCACCAGTTCGTCACCTGTGAAGAGGAAAATAAATTAACAATGATTTCCCGACACAGCGGAGCCAGGAGAATAAACATTATTGTATGGTTACTCCCGTTGAAGCCTCAGCCCTTCGGGACCCGTCAGGAGCGCGGCTCGCTGCCCTTCCGTGGTGCAACTGAGTGAGATATAAATTGTCTGCATGTATTCACCGGTTCAGGATGCAATACGTAACATTACTTTTACTATTGAGTAAAGATACATCTCAGATATTTGTATACGGATAGAATCAAAATGATAAATCACATAAAGTTTTAATTATAATTACGCATCTTCAAGTCATGAATGAACATAGTGTACTAATTTCGCCGGGACCAGAGAAAGGCCACAATGCCAACGCTGGTAACTTGTCTGTAAAGAGGGACATAAAGTAACCAATGACCCCGCATTCCGCAACCACCGTTGACCGTTCCCCCATGTGCGTTATACGTAGGTAGGATGAGAAAGTAGGGGAGAGTGGGGCACATTCGTGCAAAAAATAGATAAATCCATATATCTTATCTTTGGTTAGTGCAATGGCAAAATTGTTGATTATAGTATGGAAAGGAACTATTGCATGATATTTTTCCTCTTTAAAAGTTATCCTCTAAAATTATTGCTTCTATTAGAAAAAAATGACTTTTAGCTGAACGTTTGCACGAAACTGCCCCACCTATGGGGCACATTCGTGCAAGGGATGGGGCACTTCCGTGCATCCTGCAAGTGCAAAGTTCGAGAAATTACCGGGCATTACCAGAAATTTACCAAAGGAAATTGGCAGGGGGTCATTTCACTTGATTCCTTTCGACAAGAATGCATTGCACAACATATGTAGACAGAATGGGGTGGCCAACAAGAATGTGCCGGCCTCCGTGACCTCGCCAAGTTCGCGTGAACTACTCGTCACGACGTCGCAAGCAGCCGAGACTGAGTCAGGCGAGCGTCATTATAGTGAAACCTATTACAGATAAAGTCATAAATCGCAAAAACTAAAAAAATATGCACGAATGTGCCCCCAGGCAGTGCGTACACTAACCTGCCCCACAACGTTATTTGTAATATATTTCAAAACTTCTTGTTGAAAAAATGACACTTTTTCAACAAACAAGTTTGCAGCAGTTCCGTGAATAGAGTGAGCTTCTTCGCCCCCAATTTTGAAAAGCTGAACCCATTTCCGAGTCTGGATCACGAAAATGGATGATATGAGAAAAGTTTGGAAAGCTCACGAACATTACAAATTTTCCAGTTCCAGTTTGGTAAATTTTGACATTTTTCGATATGAAGGACGAGTGCGTTCGATCTATTGTGGTTCCGGACATCGCGTTTGTGTTCCTTCAATCGTGTGTCGAGTCACATTTTTCGATATGAAGGACGAGTGCGTTCGATCTATTGTGGTTCCGGACATCGCGTTTGTGTTCCTTCAGTCGTGTGTCGAGTCACAAACGCGATGTTCGGAACCACAATAGATCGAACGCACTCGTCCTTCATATCGAAAAATGTCAAAATTTACCAAACTGGAATAGTGCTCATGTCATTGAAAAAGGCATGTCAAAATCGGTGAGAAAAGCTCTGGAAGCAGCTCACATCTGTTTCCAAGATACAGTGAACGAAAAACCTGGATTCTTCACCTGGGCAAAAGCGGCTGCAATGTTGGCACTAGGAAAAAAATCTTAAACGATTTCTAAACGAAAGGTGATTGGCGAACTTTGAAAGACTCTGAGAAAAGGCGAGCGAATTAAACGTTCCGACATTGACATTGTGACCTGTAGGTACATTCATTATATAATTTAATTTTCAGCATATCAAAAGAACGCGACAAGAACAATAGCGTGATGAATGCCGTTCTCGGTTGAATCAAAGAATGCATTTCGAAACCTGTGCCCGATGTGTCGACTTCAAACGATTTATACCGATTGTTTTTGATACTGTGTTTTTAATTTAACCCTCGCCCGCACATGCCATTTTCCCATCCTAGAACGCACATGGGGGGTGGTTGCCACCCCCCCCGCGCCATTTCGTTCCTGTTGGAGATAGAGCTTAGCGGTAAAGACCAAAAAGATTCTTTGGGAAGAGACGAATCCAACGATACCCAGTTTTACCTTCTCAGGTCAGTCATTGACCTTCCAGGTCAGGTCAAACTAAAAAATGTTGCTGTTTTGGGTCACCGTTGGATATCAAGTGCGCTGCTTATCAAATGCCGATGACGATGGTGTTTTCTGGTGCCAAGCCAGCTAAAACCTCTTTGTCACACTACCCGACCAGAATTTTGCTGCTGAGGTCATTTCAGGTCAAGTTAGGTCAAGGTCAATTATATGTGTTTGTATGTCTGTGTGTGTCTGTGTGTATACTGATGTGTGCACCGATTGTTTTTGGGTCCATATTACATGAAATCATGATCTGAGAAGCTTTTACCAAAAATGCAGTCAAAAAAATTCACAAAAAGTAAATTCCGCTTGCCTAAAACGCAATTATCTTAGATGACCTAGGTTGACCTTGACCCTGACCTTGACCCCTGTACATCCATGATAGGTGGGAGGTAATACTGGCAAAAAAGGCCGAAATCAGGGTGTCAAAAGCTCACAAGGCCCATGGCAAACGCAAGATGTTGAGAATTAGCCATTTGGGTCATGACATGACCTGAAAAACAAGGTCATATCTCCGAAACCAAAAGTCACAGAAACTTCAAATTTTCAGTGGACATCAAGAAAGGATAGAGGAGCAGCCATACGAAAAATCAGCCCTCTACCTCTAAAAATGTTGAGTGCAGAGCAGAAAGACTACCTGGGGGGGGTGGCAACCACCCCCCCCCATGTGCGGGCGAGGGTTAATTAATCACTAGTATCCACTGACGAAGGCACCCTGTGGCCGAAACGTCTGGTTTTAGGAATTTGACTTGTGTTGCCATCGATCGTGAATAAAACTCAATGATTATTTACAATAGACCTTATAGCTGTGGCTACCAGAAATCAAAGCCCACAGTTGTATAAACAGTCAACAGATATTCGTCGGTCCTCGGACATTCTGAGAAAAATCATCGATCAGATTGGCGCATGCCTTGCGGTCCGAGGAGCTATCAGCACAGATTACAAATTGGACGGGGGGGGGGGGGGCGCGTAGATTGGCCTGCTACATCTGAAAATGTAAAAAAAAAATAGCGCCCTCTCACGATCACAATACCATAACCCGCGCACCGACGGGGGTCTGCGCCAACTTCGTACCGACGGGGGGGGGGGGGGGCGGATGACTGCCCCCCCCCTGAGATCTCGAGAACGAAGCAAGATAGCGACAAGAGGTAAGCGGCAAGGGATACGCACGGACAAGGTCTACAATTTTTACTAAGGTCATTTTCAGGTCAGGTCAAAGATGACGTCACAGGGGTCAAAAAAGTCAAAATAGCGGCGCTAGGTATAGAGAGAGTTTTTCTCGAATAACTTTCGAACTAGTCAATATAGGAACAAACTAAGGGCAGCATCGTGATCCTCTCGTCAATCCGCATCGAATGATATATATGTTGACCTCAAAAGGTCAAGGTCAAAGGTTGACCTCAGGTCACGTGATCTCGAGGTCATCATGCATATCATTCGATGCGCCTTGACGAGCTGAGCACAATGAGACCATCCGCGCGGCTGTATCTTGTTCCTGTACGGAGTTATTGTCAAAAAACCGCTGGTGACCTTTGATGACGTCACATGACCTTACAGCTGCCCAACTGCAAAACAGACCTCAAGGTAGTGAAGGTTGATCGTATATGAGGTCATGTATGGTTTATGGGGCCATTCCGACCCGTTTTAGTGGTAAAAACAGGGAGTTGATTTTTCCCCCATTGACTAATAGGGGAAGTTGGGGCAATGCCGGAGTTGGGGCAAAGCCGAAATTCGAGATATTTCTAAAACCGTACGACATGGATGCCACGTCTCAGTGATGCTCTGAAGCTTAAGTGACTACAATTATCGCATGTTTGTTACGAGCCGTCATTTGGAATACTTCGGCTGTGAGGGCGCCAAAAGCGTTTTCAAGGTACGTTTCCCTTGTACTACGTGCGCCTTTGAAGCTGCATTTCTTACTCATTATGCTACCGTTTGTCTGGCCAATTCGGTCAAGTAATCTTCAGCATGTCTTTGCATAAGTGTGCTGCCTATTTGAAATTTATACAGCACTTTTAAAAGTTATGGGCCTGCAAATGAAAGTATGGCTGGCTGGGGTAATGCCGAAAACGTGCAATTACGCACGTTAAAGCACGCTACGTGGACTTTACTGCTGTAGAATAGCAACGCGTATTTTTAGTCAAACAAATTACACTTTCAGCCGGCACAACGGCCTGCTACCTATAAGGTATGATTTACCTGGCATTTTCTTATTATATCACACAATTATAACTTCCAGTGTGCACCAAGCGTCCTCAAGCTCTTAAAACGCGTGTCAGCTTTGATGAATTTTGGATAAAGTTTGAGATAAATTGGCAAAACATCAATGTCGGCATTCCTCGTAGATCATTTATTCCATTTTCGGCTTTCCCCGCAGTCCGGGGCAACGCCGAAAAAGTCAGTTCTTTGATATTTTTAGTTTTTGCGCTTAACGGTATGCGAATTCATCAAATGCGCCTGGTATGTTTGAAAGACAAAAGACTGGCCTCTCGAATGACGCCAACAAGAATAGCTTATGTTGTCTACCTTGCGTGCTACGGGCGTCAGAAAAAAAGTATTCGGCGTTCCCCCAACTTCCCCTAATGGGGAGGTCGAGAAATTGACCTGACCTTAGGTCATCGATATCAAAATTATGAGATAAAAAAATTGTAGCTACTAATGACCTTATAACATCCTGCGACTTTCAAAGGCCTCCGACATCTACTGTAGCTCTGGCACGGTGACAAAATTGCAAAAAAGTGACTTGAGGCTGGGTCATTCAAAGTGACCTGGTGACCTGACCTTAAAAAAAGTTAGGAGGTTCAAACTTGCACACCATGTGTAAAATTGATGAGAGAATAGTCGTACCAAATTTCGCGTTCCCGCTATTTGCGAAAAACCTCAGGGGGGGGGGGGCAGAATCCGCCCCCCGTCGGTGCGCGTGATAAGTGATCGAAACTCACCGTCGGTGATTGGCGTATCAGGGAGGACGTTGGCCGCATACTGCTCACACACTTGCTGGATGTTCGTAACTTTTTCCTTTAGCTCTTCTGGCTCCTCACGAGTCCCCATAATCAGGGTCAGATCGTGCCACAACTGAAATGGAAGGAAAACAAATATTAGGCAAATATAGAGCGTGCAATCACCAGTAGCGTCGCTAAAATGGGATCTTATAGGAGCCGGGAAACTCTGGTGTCGCATCGAACGAGCTCAGGTGACCACCTGCTGAGCATGATTTTAACTTAATTCCTGTGTGGCTGGCTCCTACCTACAAAAGGCCTCCGATCTAGAGGGCATCATCTCTTTTGAGGAGTCAGAGGGCCGAGGGGCCCTAGTGGTCACTGGTCAGACACAGATACCATCGGCTATTCACAGGAGGCCCCAGGTGGTAAGAAAGACCCCAGCTGTCAGCAAAAAATAGAAGGAAAACTATTTATATCACATTTTTTGGCTGTAAATTGATAATGGTCAGTCTGACCAGCAAGTCACTTTCACTGTGACCAAAAATGGGTTAAAGGGACTATCCCACCTTCTAAAATGTTGTTAAAACCAGTTAAATTGTGCCCGACTTTATAGATTGGATGACCAGGAACACGGTTCTGGCATTTATTTTTCATTAAACATCTTAGGCTTCCCATATTCCAAACACAAACTTTCAAATATGTGACGTCACAGCCCAAAATTACCTCCTTCCCCAGGCCACATTACTGTCATAAATCTGATTCTTTTTACTCTGTAGGCACCACAACAAAGTTCAGACCAAGTTTTAAGCGATTTTTCAACGAACAAACCCATTTAAATCAGAATGACTAAACGAGGTGACGTCACACTAACGGTCGCTCTATGTTGAAGATAGGGCCTTGTACAAGCCCATTTTCAAATGAAGGGAACGAATTTCTTCAACACCAAGAGGCCGCGGGGGTTGCAACCTTAGATACCTAGATAGTGGTTTCTGAACCTCGCCGCAAACTTGGCTATCTCAACTCAAACCCCATGTTAAAGGTGGAATAGTCCCTTTAATATAAGGCAATATCCTGGCCAAAAGATACATTTTAAGTCTTACCTTTGTTGTTCACTGCTTGCCGCGGTCTTGGTCGTCCAGTAGACACTGCACGCTTCACCTGCACGCCACCCCACGCTTCACCATGTATCCATCCAGTTCAAAGTTTCGACACAAACGGTAAAATGGCGGTACAAAATGGCGGTATAAATTGGCCACGTGGAACACCATAGTAAAATAACGCCCCGAGCTGTAAAAATACAACACTGAAGACTGAAATAACCATGTAGCATAAAACCACACCTAAAAATCCCTCGCTTATCAAGTCCACAGTGTAAATTTACTCCATTTAGGTTTTGCGATAATCAGCTGAACCACGCAAGTGTAAATTTATGCTACCAACTAGCCATTTATTATCCGCATGGGATTAAAAATGCACTTGGGTAATAATTTTACTACCAATAAGCTGAGGTGTAAAAAACATAAGAACTTGAAATTACACCATAGTTGCAAGAAAACCCTAAAGTACTGGATGGATTACACCTAAGTTGAGTAAAAAATGCACCTAGTCATCTTTTAACTCTGAATTTTCGGCTAAGGGTGGTACAAATAGTCTGGAAAGTGGTGTTAAGTGGTTACAAATATCACCCAAAAATACCACCAAGGTGTACTTTTCTTTCAGTGCAATCCTACCGATGCCTGAAGGTCACCTTAGGTCAGGAGTTATTCATTCAGGTCAAACTGAGGTCGTGTTCGAGCAAAAATGAGCAAAAAACATGCAATCTTGAAACGCTCACCAAATCTACAATTACCAAGCAATTTCAAAGTTCTTTATATGATCTAGCAGACAAAAAGCGGCGCTACAAAACTGTTATCTCGGATTTTCAAAATTTTGGGTTTTTGACCCCCAGAAATACAAAAAATTGATTTTTTTTAGAAAAACTTAAAAAAAAAATAAAAAAATCCGAATTTCGAAAAAAGCGGAATATATGTGATACCTAGTCTCTGCGCTCTTCTATATACATACCAAAGTTCAGATCGATATCTGGTTTCTTGGCCAAGTTATAGCGAAAAAACTGTTCAAAAAGGATGACGTCAAATTTTTGAACTCAATTTTTAGCGATTCTAGACCACGTAGGGCAAAACAAAGATCGCCATTGAACTCTCCGTGACTAGCTGCATCGAATATGGGGTAGCCGTCACCCATTTCATGCTAAAATATCAATTTTGAAATTTGACCTAATTTGACCTGACCTTGACCAAAACGTGACCTAAGCTGTCCCCAAAGGCTGCCTGGCCCACATAATCGCATTTGTCATGTAAAATGGACCATAAAACATGTATTACACGACACTTTCATATTGTGACCCCCCAGTGACCTGACCTCTGTGACCTGAACTGGTATCAGTGACCTCAAATAGCAAAATATGTGTTTAAAGAACATTTCCCCATCGATGATTTTCAATGAAATGCATTTTACTCGATTGTACAACGCATTTCTTGAAATGCCTGTAAACGGTGAAAATTCGACCTTTGACCTGACCTGTGACGTCATCGGTTTGACCTAGGTCAATAAAATTGGGTCACAATGTAGTTCCCTGATAGGGCTATCCAACACCGTTTGCCGCTTGTCGCTAGGTTGAGTGTTTCTCGAGATCGTAGGGGGGGGGGCAAATTGCCCCCCCCCCCCAATAGGGCGCGTTGCTCGGCAGAGCCCAACGGGGCGCGGGATAAGTGGCATCGTAAATGACGTCACACAGGGTCAACAATGCAAAAGTGGAGATTCAGCTCTTGCAAGGAGTGCATGAAATCATTAATCACGATTCCGTGTGCTTGAGGTAGTTTGAGATAGTTCCCGGCACAAAAATGGCAGTTTTCATTTTCCCCATTGACAGTTGCGACATCTGAGGACCATGTAGACTGTAGAGGTTCACTTATGACGCCATAGGTCACTGACCTGACCTGAAAATGCGTTTGGTGTCAAAAGATCCGGCTTGAATCAAAATTCAGGTATGTCCAGTTTCAGCTCTCCATCGCCGGCGTGTTTGGAGCTATCGCGAAAAAAAAACTAGGGGGGCGGGGGCGGCACCCGCGTCCCGCTCCCCCTCGGCCGGCACTCGCACCCTGCTGGTGGGGGTGAAACACCCCACATGAGGGTTTTCGCGAATATTTAAGAAAAGGAGGCGCGTCGCGTCACCGTTTTAGACCTGCACTGTATCATGCATCTTTTCTTCACATGTCCCAGGTCTTTCAGCCAGGTCACTAGGTCACGTCAGGCGACCTCACCTCAGAAAGTCATAATGCTCGGCAAAGCTACGTTGTAACTCTCAGCCATTGATAAAAGATCAACCCTCGCCGGCACGGGGGGGGGGGGGCTGCTACAACCATGAACCACTGTAAGGTTTTCGCGAATAACTCGCGTAAAAAGCGGCCGATCGCGACGAAACTTTCAGTACCCTCGAATTGATCAATTTTACACCTACCCTGTAAAGTTCATGACCCTGACCCAAATGACCTTTGACCTAGGTAGGTACTTTCCAAGACCATGTTTGGCCGGAATCGCGATTCGGCGTATGTCGGCTCGCATTAGCAGCACGTTTGCAAGCATTTCGTGGTTTCAAACGTTCAAACATGTTGCTCCCATGCATTAGGGTGGATTTCAAGGTCACCTGAAGGTCAGGTCAGGTCCTTGACGTTTTGATGACCTCGGTTCACTTTTTCGAGTTTGACATATTTCTAGGCTAGCTTTTGAAGCTGAATTCGAAATTAGAAACCATTCGAACATTTACGAAGTAGTTTTGGCATAGGTGAAGAATTGTGCCCAGCCGGGGGTGCTCGGGCGCAGCAAATCCGCCGCCGCCTGGCGGTGACCTTGACCCGCGCCGCCTGCCGCGGCTCCAAAGCCAAGCCGGCGTGGAATTGGGAGAGCTCGAGCACCCCCAGTCCAGCACAATTCTCCACCCGTGAGTTTTGGTGTCTGTGTAACATGTTACGAAGCTGTCAGAGGCGGTTGACACTTACTACAAATATCCGGCAAAACCCCTACTGGTTGACCTGACCTGACAAGACCTGGCCTAAAAGCATCTGTGATCAAAACTAGCACGATATTCGTGATCAGCACCCCGAAAACCCCATGACAGCCAAACAGGTCCCGATTTTCCCGACTTTTCGGTCATTGACCTGACCTGGAAGGTCAACCAATGACCTAGGACCTTAAAATTGCGTATCATCGATTTCCTCTCGTCACGGGCAACACGCTTGTTTTTTCCGCGAAGCTCTAGCGGATCCCCCCCCCCCCCCGGTATAAGTTCGCGGCTGGCAACAAAAAAAAAAAAAAAAAATACGGGCGAGTAAGGAAGCGTATCGAACATCTTTGAAAAAGGTCAGCAGTCAGCACGCGGCGAAAGAGGATCTATCTTGACGTGAGAGAATTTGGACATGCCCGGTCAAAGGAATTCGTTCGAAGTAGCCAAAACCTGTATCCCTGCGACGTCTGTCGCTGTGGCGTCCTTGAAAAGGTTCAACAAAGGTGCCCGCACCACTTTCAACTCCCTCACAGCCCACAGCCCATAGGTCAGAGGTCCATCCTCGTCCAAGTAGTAGCATTTGTGTCCGGAAAGCAAGGTCGTAGTTTGCGGCAGCCTCGGAAGGGAGCTGCCGCAAACTACCATTTCCTAAAAGATCAGTTGATCTGGCCAATGCTGTAACAACGACATCATTTGTCAAAAATCTCATTCGAAATCGGAGGTCTATATATTTGTACACGAGAGATCAGCAAGTATAAAAGCGGCTTATCTACTAAGAGCGACATGAAACAACAAAATGAAATGCGAATGGGGTGAGTATGATGCAGGTACAAAGAATCAGTGATAAACGTTCATCTGAGACAGCAAAGAAGCGAGCAATATCTGCTTCTTTTTAACATAACCATAACATGATAAAATAAGCACGTTGTACTTGATGCTTACACTTATAACATATTTGTTACGAGTAAATTTGTACTTAGAGAGATTGGTGGACACAAAAGGTGTCATCCACTCAAGCAGTGGCAGCTACGCACGTGCGAAGAGTATAAGTAATTTGTACATTAAATAATACAGCGCTATGCATGCGTGACGCACGTCGATGATTACGGCTGCTGCCCTGAAACATAAAAACCTCTACAGTAGCGTCACTAATTCTAGTACAAGACCGAAGTATACGTCACCATTTTCGCGACCATTAGTGCGCCGAGTCCATGCGAATTTCCATTTTGGATTGCCGGAAGAGCCGTCTACTCATCACCCTCCTCCTCCTCCTTCTCCTCTGAGTAGTGACGGTACTCCGGCTTCAGTTCGTACATGTTCCGGTGCGGACTCTTCATGTTGTAGTTGCACACTTCGCTGAGAACCTCCTTCAGGTATGTCACTGGCTGCATCGTGATGCGCACCAAGTCCTTGATGTTGTAAAACTGGTGCTTCTCGAACGCGGCGAACAGCATGGCCAGCACCTTCTCCTTGTCGTCACGCATCTTCTTGCCGACCTCCTTCTTGCGCTTCTGGTGGTCGATGTTGTGCTGGTGGTTCGCCACCGGTTTGATGTGCACCACGTCGCCAATGGTCTTCAGACGCCGGCCGGGCTGGGCGGCTCGCTTGATCTTGTCGCGCTTGAGCTGCATGTAGCTGGCGTCGCCGAGCGGGCGGCACTCGGCGCGCTGGATCACCTTGCCCTCGATGGCAAGCGCCTCCCGCTCGGGCACCACGGCATCCCGGTCGCTCGGCTGCGTCTGCGAGAACACGCCCAGCGTCTGGCCACCCACGTTGCTGACGACGAAGCGGTGCTCCTTGGGGATCGGCTCGCGCTCCATCGCCAGAACGGCCTCGCTCAGGGAGAACGACACGTTCGGCTTCTGGCCCGGCGATTTGGTGATCTTGAGCCTGCCGACCTCGACGCTACCGGGCGCCGACTGCCAGCGCTCAGAGATGTACTTAGGTACTTTGACCAGCCACACGCCGCGGGCCGCGTTCGAACAGTCAACTGAGTGCTCCTGAACTTGGGTTGACATGTTGAGAGGTGCAGTGGTGCAGCATCAACCAATTGTTTTTGAAAGTTTTTTTTTCTGAAACACAAAATTGAATTGTGAGCATTGGGCACAAAAGTGTAAATTTTGTTTCCTAAAGATCTTCTTTGAACAGTAGACAATAACAACTAAATATTTTAAGTCAAGTAAGCAAATGCATTTCTTGCATAGCTAATTTGATGAAATTCAATTTACAGGTACCTACTGATTCAATCAAAACTTTTTTTTCAGCCAGCAGGCAGCCAAATCAAACAGTGTCTAAATAGCACATTCTTAAATTTTGTCAGCCAAGCTCAAATGTGCCAAATAAAAAGCTGGTGCTGACTGCTGTGCACCTTGCATTTGATTCAGTCATTGAAGCATATAATCGAATTGGAATGAAAAATGGCATGCCTGATGAAAGAACTTGTTAGAAAATAGGTAAGCTGATACTAACAGGCACATTCTGAACCTGTGGTAGGAGTTTTGACATTACCGGCTTGACTTACAGCACGTCTTAAAAGTGAATTTATTTACATGTTGATCGTCCAGATTCCGTCCTTAAGCCCATCTACCAGTGCAAGAGGAGGGCTCCTTATACTCAACTGTAATCCTTTACCTCTTAGTTACAATGGTTGATGGTACCCACCCCATCTGAAGTAGCACAATAAATATGCATACCTACCTATCTGGGGACGCAGTGCAGTGCAATCGTGGTGCAATCCTGATCCAAGAAAAAACATACATACTGCACCACATCTAGAAAAATTAAAAATGGAATGTCTTACAATGATTGTCCTGGACATTTTCTTTATCCATTTATTATTTTTGAAGAAATAATTAATCAGCATACTCTAGCTTAGGTATGCCAAGTTGCAATGCGATCCGTCTGTGTAGGTACATTACCAGCCTAATCATAATTTGGCTGGAAACTGCACCACATTGGAAAAATTCAACCAGAGGCAAAAAAGGAAAGTTTTTTAAGCTGTTCAAAAATATCAAAAAACAATTGAAACTATCATCCTTACCGAAATCAACCCAAAAACGCCGATCACGCGCAATTCAGCACAATGCACAAGGCGGTTGTAATTCGTTGTTATAAACATTAGGAAGTCACTCAAAATGGCGCAGGACTTTTTGATGACGTTTAAAAACATAGATATATACATTTTAAAAACGTTGTTCGGCCGTTTTTTACTCATTAAAGAGAAAAAGCTATTTCTTAGAGGGAAACCATCATTAAAATTGAATTGTTACTGAACTTGACGGGGTTAAAGGAAGGGTGCCACCTTTTGGACACAACGCAGTTTTTACAAGATTAGCCTCACATGAACCTAAAAACCGGCTTCACTTACCTATGCTCGAGACGGTCAGCATTGAATCCGCACGTGAAGTTATCATTTGCGAGTTTTGCTGCCAGCATTCGGGCAGGCAAAAATCTTCAGCACTATTTCCTCGTCGTGTTAAGGGTATTTTATAAAACATTAAATCAGCAAAGGTATGTATAAAAGTAATACTTTTGAAGCATGTTTTATCATTTTGAAAGGGTATATTTTTTCTTTATGGTATACACTTAAGTTTTAAAATTTTAATTGGGAAGTTTTTCTAGTAAGTTGCATGAAGGGTGAAGGGTTCCATAGATCTCTTAAGCATTGTAAAGGAAAAACCTTTACTCGACTTATTTGATGTTCTTTAACTGTTGGCAAATATGGCCAACAGTTACCTACTTGGTTACCTACAACTTAGTTCAAATCATGTTATCTTCTTCCTTTTTATTTGTTCATCTTTTTGTCTCAGTTGCGCCATCAATGCAAATGGCAGAATGATATGTTGCCATGACAACAGGATATGCCAGCCGTCCTAGCTGCCACATCAAACGACCTTGAGTTGTAGTGGTGATATAAACAACGATTTTTTTTTTGGCTAATGTATTAAATGCAATGTTTCGGTTTTTTGTATATTGTGGACGCGCTAACCACGTCTAAAAATTCAAATAAGTAAAATAGATTCATAGAACAAAAATTTCGGAAGGTGGCACCCTTCCTTTAAACGACATTTTCTTTTACATAATGACGCCACCGATATTTACAGACAAAAATCGAATAGGAAAAGCGCGACATTTGAATGGAACCAAATTCGAGCGCCGGACCCGACAGGATAACGATTCTGGGACAAAAAAGGAATATAAGCCCTTGCACCCTATAAATGACCTTGATTTGCACTACTAGTAATTTGGCCTTATACGGGTCCCCCCGTCATAACTCCAACTGTATAACTGATTCCACCAAACACCTTACACAAAAAAGTATTTGACTATCCGTGGCAACGAGACGAAAACCTGACCACAGACAGTCGCCAAACGGCTGACCAGGGCAATATTGCACAACCTAACATGTGTTAAGTTTCGTCTTCACTCCGCGCCTGAGTCAGCAATGAGTGATAGCTCGATCATTCAACTACTGGTTGGCGGCGGACAGCCGTCTCCCTCTCCCGCCATCAGAGGATGTAGGATTATGTTTTGGAATACAAAAGATCTCACCCAGACTACACCAGACTCCTCAATCCGGATGACTCGTCCGAAGACGAATTTATTTGCAAACGTCACGCGGAGACATGTCCCGGGGTCAACAGCAAACCAAAGATGATCATAAATAACTAGAGCGAGCCCTGAACACCCATGGAGCTAGTGGCGGCGCGGCCGCAGGTTAGCTCTTGGTTTCCGCACCCTCTGTCGCCGCCTGGTCGGCAGGCTTGTTGTCCTCTGGCTTCATGGCCGGGAAGAAGAGCACCTCCTGTTGGCAAAGTGCGTAGGAAGAGCAGGTTATTGGGTGTTTTAAGCATCAGTGATTATGCTGATGCATTAGGCCCGTGCCGTATGTCATCGGCGCAATCATGCGCAAAAGATCGTGTCTATACGAGCGAGCCAGTGTCGAGTCGAAAAGAGAGAGAACTTGGGAAGCCAGACTGTTCCCGCGTAGGTGGCGCTCATACTACACCGGCACCAACAGCGGATCGAACACGTGTTACACGGCGCTGTTGATGTTCTTCTCCATGCCATCATACCACATAGGTACAGTCACCAGCACTTGCTACTAATCACCTCGTTTTTCTTCAGTAGTTTGAAGACCGATCAATTCTCAGTCGCGCAAGATACGTCAAACGATCCGTTTGGTCCTCCGATTTTCGAATATCTAACTTGTTTTTGTATATTCGAAGCATTTTGGGATGAGGAGCCAAAAAACCTCTTTTCTGCCCTAAAGTGTGCCCCAAGAAGTCGTAGAACCTAGCCCCGCCTCTGATCCACAGACCCCTAGTGCCATCTCTTGTCAGCCGAACAAGTCGCAGAAGTAAATAATGCCACGTGACATTTGCACACGCTACAATTACTACGCAGCTGTAGTGGGGGAAGCGGGGCGGAGGCGTGGAGAGGGACGCGATCGGTCGGCTGGGGTCAGGTCACCGAGGTCAGAGGTCATCCGCCGGAGGGTGTTTGAGTGGTTGGGCCGTGTGGGCTGGGGCCTGCGGAGTGGGGAGCGCCTGGACCTGTCTGGAAACAAGCCCTACAGCGCTGTGACAGTCGAGAATATGGTGAAGAAAGAGAGAGGGAGAGGGAGAGAGAGAGGGAGAGAGAGGAGAGAGAGAGGAGAGAGGGAGAGAAAGAGAGAGAGAAAGAGAGAGGGAGAGCGAAAGAGGGAGAGCGAAAGAGCGAGAGAGAGAGAGAGAGAGAGAGAGAGAGAGAGAGAGAGAGAGAGAGAGAGAGAGAGAGAGAGAGAGAGAGAGAGAGAGAGAGAGAGAGCAAGAGAGAGAGAGAGGGAGAGAGAGAGCGAGAGAGCGAGAGCAAGAGAGAGAGAGAGCGAGAGAGAGACAGAGAGACAGAGAGACAGAGAGACAGAGAGAGAGAGAGCCAAGAAAGGCTGGAGGGAAGGGATAAGGACGGGAGGATAAAAAAGAGAGACAGAAAAGGAAAACCAGAGAGGGTAAAATGAGAAAGAGGGCAATGGGTAAATCAGTGAGAGGGAGCGAGAGAGGAAATATTTAGATTTAGTTGCGTCAGCTTGTTTCACATGTAAAATGTAAATTTGCTTTCCATCATTACAGCTTCGGGTTGGAAATTAAATCTTAGCATCCTTATGATAAACCCACGTTGACGGGATGCAATAGCGGCGGAACACCTTCAATTAAGGGGGGGGGGGGGACTGCCGACTTTTGGTCCTATTATTTCCATGCAACGCTCATAGGGCTAATGTTGAAACTTGAAATGCCAAAATCAAAGGGGGGCGCGGTGCCCCGGTGCCCTCCCCGTTCCGCCGCCTATGACGGGATGGGGACGCTTTTATGGTCGTCGTTGGTAGCTCGGCACTAATGGGGTCTGGGGATGATGTTGAAGGTTTCTCAAATGTTTCATAAAAGAGATGCTATTTTTTGCACAACCTATTAAACATTTTCTTACATTTGCTATGAAAATGTTAGGCCCAGTTCCTTCAAGATCAGGTCCACGACTCCACAGCTTACAACAGGAGCTAACTAACATAACAAGTAACCCGCGCCGTGTTGGTGGCATGAACTTTCCGTCGAGTGCTGGGGGGGGGGGGGGGGCGTTTCACGCCCCTCCGTCTAACTCGGCTCCTGGGCCACGTAGCGACACGCGGTAAGCGGCAATCGAAAGGGCGTCAAAAATAAGGAGGAAAACACTCGGTTATTTTAAGGTCAGAGCAAAGGTCAGGTCACCAGGGTTCATCAAAGGTCAAATTTTGTTTATTTCAACGATTTTCAACGCCCGACGGCTAACTCGGGAACAAATAGAGCTACAGCGCCGCGGAAAAGCGCATTCGATAGCTCTTTTAACGCTCTTTCGCCAACATGTCCTCAAATTTGACCTCAGATCAACGGTGTAGCCCCCAGAGGGCACCGCTCTGATTGACCTCAAATTTGACCTCAGATCAACGGTGTTTTCACCGCTCTAGCACGTCTCTGTCAAAAGTAAAAAAAAAACTGCTGAAGACCTTTTATGTCCTAAAATGACCTCAGGGGCACACACAGGGGTCACAGGTGCAATTTTCCGATTCATTGTGTCATGTTTACCTATGGACCGATGTTTGAGAGGGTGTAGAGCGAAATTCGTCCAAAAGAGGCGCATTTCAATTTCTCCCATTGACTTATACCTAATGGAGCAGTCGCAAAATTGACCTGACCCTAGGCACAGACATAAAAAAATCCGAGGTATCCATTTTATACATACTGTTACCCTAGCAATAACTGAACGTTTTAACTTTAAGTGATCGCTCAGTCGGTGTAGCTACGCGAGCTTTCGAATTTTTTTCTGAGGTGGTCACTTGACGTTACCAGGTGACCTGACCTTGAATGACGCTACGCGTCGCGTCGCCATTTTTGAGATATTCGCGAAAAACTGAGGGGGAAGGTCGTAAAAACGCCCCCCTTCCCCAGCACGGCGCGGGTGGTCGACATAGCGACTCGGACTGAACAAATGCCTTTAACGTTTCAACGGTTGAATAAGGTGAGAGGATTGAGGTGGGCTTGTATCGGATACTCTTCTGCTTGTCGGTAGTTTAGGTTGAAGTTGATTTCGCGAGCTGTCCATGATTATTCAAGAGGGAAAATTCAGCTGCACATCGTTCGGGTCAAAGTAATACCAAACATTCTCAAATTTTGTAGTAAAGAGCCAGTAGTCTGCGAATATATTCAAAAAACAATTGGAAAAAGAATACGCGGACCGGTTTCGTCTTTCAAAGACTTCTTCAGCGCTTTTTCAAAAACGTATAAGAAGAAAACTAGCACAGTGACAATCGTTTGAAATAGAATTGGATTCAGTAAGAACTAAGAACTTCATTGTCCGAAAACTGCTGACAGTTGATAGCTCAATGACACTTAGAGCCGTGCATAAGGAGGCGTGAAAACACTCTCCTCATCTCGTTTTATTACGAGGACCATGTCATGGCGTGAGAAAGGTGTTCTCAAAATAAATGACACTGTATGTGAATAAATAATCCGCGCCCCCTTGGGCTATTGGCGGACCCTACCACCTGACCGGATGGCGCAGCCGTTTCGCCTTCCACCTGAGATCTCGGAAAATTACCGACCGATTTTGAACATTCAAAGAGCGTTCGATAGCCCCACCAGGGAACTACCTTGTTACCAGGTTTCGTTGACCTAGGTGCAACCCATGACGTCACAAGTCAGGTCAAAGGTCGCATTTTTCACCGATTTAGTCTAAGGAATGCGTTACAGTCAGTTAACACATCAAATAAAAGGCATGTTATCGAAAAACATCGATGGAGCGTTGGTTGTCTAATGCATATGTTGCCTAAAGAGGTCATTGATGCCAGGTCAGTTCACAGAGGTCAGGTCACTAAGGGTCGCAATATGGACCCAACTATGCTAGGGTCGTGTGATACATGTTTTATGGCCAATTTATGGCCAATACATTTAAAATTCAATGGTGTGGGCTAGACGACCACTGGGGCCAGTTTAGGTTACATTCTGGTGGAGGTCAGGTCAAGGTCAGATCAAAGAAGGTCAACTTTGAAAGTTGATATTTTGCATAAAAGGGGTAGGTATCTTTTCGATGCAGCTCATCACAGGAAATCCAATGGAGGTCTTTGGCTTGCTCTGTGTGTTCTGTAACGGCTAAAAATTGAATTTGAAAATTTTACGTAATAAATTTTGAGTACCTACCTAGTTTTTTTTTGCCATAACTTTGCTAAAAATGGAGCTATCGAGTTTAAGTTTGGCAAATTGGCATATCTAGAGCAGATAGTTCTATAACATATATTTCAGTTTTAATTTTGAAAGTTGTTGGTATTTTCGGGGTGTTATACTTCTATAGTTTTGATGGTCAAAATCAATTTTTGTTTGGAAATAAGAGTTAGCAGTTTGGTAGCGCTGTTTATTTTACATCTTTTTTATCTTGAATATGTTTCGTTATCTTCAAAACTGTAAGCGTGACAGCTCTTCCCGCTAAACCTTTTATTGGGTCGAAAATGACAGAACATGACATCCCTCTGACGTCATTTGTGACTAACCTTTCATAAGAGCTCTGGAAAAATTTGGTCACAAGGTGTAAAAATGATGCCCGGAGGGGTCTTGAAAGTTTGGCGGCAACATTTGCTATACTTTAGGAGTTATCGACTGAAAAGGAGATGGGGGCCGTTTCGCGCCGCCCTCCCCCTCAACGGGGCTTTCAGTTGCTGATCTTACAGAACTCTTGGTTATATTACAACGTAGTTGAATTGCAAGTGGCAATACGTGTATAAGCTTCCTGCCAGCGCCGGACCAGAGTTTAAACATGCAGGCTGAATTTTAACATTTAACTTTTGAATTTTTAAACCGTTCAGCTTTTAGAAGTTGTATGAACTGTTCAGCTCCTTTTTTAGTCCATCACGGCGGGCTTGTATGTCATTTGTCAACCAAAATTGAATTAAAGACTTTTTATTTGGTCTGGCTACCTCGCCAACTTCTTAACTGGATCGTTTAGTAGCTTTTGATTGGGCACTGCCCAGTGCCCACGTTGTCTGTCTAGCTTTTCATAGTCACTGTCTATGACACGAGAAGAGGCTGCTGACATCGTTTGTCGCGGTTGGATAATACCAATCCACGTCCCAGTGGCTGCTCGATCGCACTTTCCCTGGCCCACCTCTCCCACCAGGCTAGACTTTGCCCGGCACAGCCGTCTCGCCTCAGTGCCTCGGGCGGTGACCCGTTCAAAGGGGCTCACAATTCGTATGGTGCCGTGGCTCTCAAACCAATACAGAACAGTGAAACGCAAAGGCTCACTTTCCATATAAGGCGAACGGCTGATTCTGGCGCCGGGGCTTCATTCATGCAAAGGCGCCCAATCACAGCGCCGCATTTCAGTTAGTGTCGGGCGCAAAAGCTACTATGCTCCGCCCCTCCATCACGTGACCCTGCCCTCACGTGGCCTCAGTCACGTGGTGTTTCCACTTCTTGGCGCATGGCGGCGCTAGTCTCGCAGGGGCGGTGGTAGCTTGCTCCCCCGCCGTCCGGGGGTGATGGGTAGCAACTGCTGGTGACTGTACCTACCTGATACCAAACCATCATATGAAGCTAAATTCACGTGTACAGAAAATCTTACGCCACTTTGTGAATAGCTCAAGTCCAAATCAAACGCAGAAAACTCATCCTTGGATCAGAGCAAATCATTATCACGCACGCCACCAATCATTTCCTCGCCCATGCATCCTCCGAGTCCATACCTTGATGTTGTTGGAGTCGGTGAGGAACATGGCCAGCCGGTCGATGCCCATGCCCCAGCCGCCGGTCGGCGGCAGGCCGTACTCCAGTGCCGTGCAGAAGTTCTCGTCAATCAGCTGTGCCTCGTCGTCACCAGCTGCCTTGGCCTGTGGTGGAAGAAGAGCCGTCAGTCGGGCCGGGGCGAAGCGGCAAGGGGGCCAGGCAAGTTGCAGTTTCAGGCTTTAGAGTCGTCGCAAACCGATAAAGGGACTACTCGAGGGACTGCTGTGTGTTAGAAAAATGAACTACCACCAAAAGCAAATGCATGAGTTCAATGACGTGACACACACATTGAATCCAAAAAGCCAAAAAGCCCAACATCCCACATGCCTTCTTTGGTATCCGCACCCATTAAACATAGATCGAACATTAAATTACTAATATGTCAGAAGACAAAGACATGCCATCAAACTCCGTAAAACCCCACATAACACTCCTAACCCACCTCGCAGAGCGTCTAGCAAGACCCTACTCCTGTCACTCACGTTAGCCTGGATGGCGAACATCTGCCTCTGCGTGGTCGGATCGTTCAGCTCCGTGTACGCGTTGCACACCTCCTTTTTGCAGACGAACAGCTCAAACCGCTCGGTGATGCCGGGCTGCGAGCGGTGGTACTTAGCCAGCGGCGACATGATTTGCGGATGATCCAGGATGAACGTGGGCTGTACGCACGTCTCCTCGAGAAACTCGCCGACCAGCTTGTCCAGGAGGCGGGCGGTGGTGCGCGGCGCCGCGCAGTCCACCTCGTGTTTCACACACAATCGGTCCAGTTCCGCGCGCGCCGCCTCAGTGTTGAACTCGGTGGCGGCGGGAAGGGAGACACCAAGAGCCTTCTCCAGCTCGGGCATCATGTGTAGTCGGCGGAATGGCGGCGCAAAGTCCACCTCCCATGCCTCGCCGTCCGGCCCGTCAGGGTGGTAGGTGACCTTGGTGCCGCCGAATATTGAGCGTACCATGCCTGGGGGTGAGGGCGGATCGGCGGTTACTCGGGGAGGCAAGCCAGGCAGCTGTCAGAGACAGAGTACAGTAGTTTCATAATTGGGTATAATTACACAGCTGACGCCTGTCTGCATAGCAGCGGAAAGACTACATCCGAATCACCGTGCGTGCACGTCACGCCAGCGATCACGCCTAGCTTGCAAAACTAGCTCCCCTAGTGATCGAGTGAGGAAACTGGTTATACAGATTGGACAGAATACGTGCCGATTGGAAGATCACGTCCCAGCTAGGACCACTTCATAATCCTTGCTGCTACACCCAATCTGAGCTGTTGCTCATACTGCTCTTACTGGATCAGTTGCGACTACTCGTCAATGTATATATTTACTGTTATTATTCATGACATCGCCTCCCTGTTTTGCTAAGGGTTTCCCCAGCATCTCCAGCACCCTCGCCCGCACTGCTCCGTTACGTCACCCACCGGAGACGAGCGTCTCGGTGATCTCCATCAGGTCGTTGTAGTCGGCGTACGCCATGTAGAACTCGCAGGTGGTGAACTCGGGATTGTGCGTCATGTCGATGCCCTCGTTCCGGAACTGCCGCCCGATCTCGTATACCCGGTCCAGGCCGCCGACCACCAGCATCTGGGGAAGGGGCGGACACGGAGGGCTGTTAGTTAGCGAGGTGCATTAGCGGCACTGACGGCGAGCTATGGGTGGAGAATGGGCAAGTTTAAACGCTCTAACGAAGATATATTAGTGCATACGCCATACCAAATGTAAAAAGAGCAGCTCTCTTCATAAGTAGATGAACGATATCCAGGCTTGGATTTCTCACGCAAAGCTCTCACTCATCCCAAAAAGCCCAACACCCAGCCCCGGCTTCCCCGCCCAATCCCTCACGTGTACCTTGTGATACAGCTCGGGAGCTATCCGCATGAAGAGCTTCATGCTGAGCTCGTTGTGGAACGTCTCGAACGGCTTGGCCGTCGCGCCGCCGGCAATCATGTTCATCATCGGCGTCTCGATCTCCAGGAAGCCCATCTGGTCGAGGAAACTCCGCAGGTAGCTGCACGGAAAACGAAAAGGTAAGGAGGCCGCAAGACAGCCAGCCTAGTATAAGAATGATGATGTAAATAATAAACCAAATTATTACAAATGCATTCAAATATATTCAAAAAGACACACAAAGCTTTCGGTTCATAGAACCTTGATCACTGTGCAAATGAGTATAACAATCGCTGTAACCGTCTAAAAATTCTTTGAAATTAATCAGCCGCGTGTTTTCTTCGTCTGCTGGTCTACCACCGATTTTGCTGCCATTGACGACCATGTGATAAATCCGCTCCTACTGTTAAACGTATCACGTGTGATGATGTGGGCTGCTTCCAGGACCTTCCTTGTACCTTTCTTTATATTGTTTTCTAATATCTTCGTACCGTCCCAGTCAGGTAAGTGGTTATACTTTTCTATATGCAGTACTATTGCATTTGATGTTCGGTGAAATTTTACATCGCTTCTGTGTTCCTTCAAACGAACTTCCACCCCTCTTCCCGTCTCCCCAACGTACGTTCTTTGGCACCCTTTGCATGGTATTTCGTAAACTACACTTTTTTCATCACTGGTATCTTTTTTGGTTTCATGGTGCTTGACTAAATCTTGAGTTTTCTTTCCTGTTACTGTAGCTACTTTGATATCTGACTTTTCAAGTGCTCGTACTATGATATCAATATTTTTCGAATTTGGGACCGAAATCCATCTCTTTCTTTTGTTGGCTTTTCTTCTCGTGTCATCTTCGTGTGCTTTGTTCGCACGTTGTTCGTCTCTTCTGTTGGCATCGTCGCCGTTTGCTTGGTTCGTACGTTGTTCGAGTCTTCTGTTGGTGTCATCGTTTTGCGCTTGGTTCGTTTCTTGTTCGTATCTTCTGTTTTGTTCGTTTCTTCGATTTTTTATTTTTTCGGCTTTTTCTTTTTGTTTGATTAAAAATCCTCTGGGATATTTCAGTTTTTCGAACGAAGTATAAATATGATTGAACTCTTCCTGAATGAATTCATCGCTGCAGATTCTTAGCGCTCTGAGAAAGAAACCGATAACTATTCCGCTTTTCGTCCTTTGACTGTGTGCTGAGTAAAAGTGCACATAATCCTCTTTGTTTGTCGGTTTTCTGTGGACTTTGAATTTGAAGCCTGAGGCTGACTTTACGATGCATGTATCTAAAAAGGCCATCTTTTCTTCTTGTTCTTCTTCAACTGTAAATTGTATGTTTGGATGAACAGCATTCAGTTTGATCAGCGTTTCAGAAATGTCAGTTTCTTTCGGAATGATTGCTAGTACGTCGTCTACGTATCTAAGCCAAGTAGAGTCGTCACCAATAATTTTGAGAAAATGTTCTTCTTCGAGTACTTCCATAAAAAGACATGCTGCTACTGGGCTTAATGGGGACCCCATTGCAAGCCCACTGTGTTGGACGTATTCATTTCCTTTGTATGAAAAGCAGTTGAATTTCATGCATATTTTGACAAGTTCTAGGTAGTCGTTTTTCGGAAGAGGTAGTTCGTCGTCGGCCATGCGTTCGACTACTTTTCCTATCGCCTCTAATGCATCGTCAACTGGGACATTTGTGAATAAAGACTTAACGTCAAAACTTGCTATCTTTTTGTCACTTACGTCTGTCACTTCACTAATTTTGTCCATCATCTCCGACGTGTTCTTGATGTGGGTGTCACTTATGGAACCAAGAGATCTAGAAAGAGGTTTGGCTAGCACTTTGGCTAGCCTGTGAGGTGCGCTTCCGATTCCAGACGTTATAGGTCGCATCGGCATCCCTTCTTTGTGGACTTTTGGTAAGCCTTTCATTTTAGGTAGAGTTGGCGCTTCTTCGAGTAAATGGTACAGTTTCTTTCCTCGTTCTGATTTTTTAAGGATTTTTCTCACATTTTTGTTGAAACTTTCTCCTTGGGTTTTGCCGTGCCCTGGTTTCATCTTTCTGTAGCTTGTTTCATCATCGAGCATTTCTTCCATTTTCTCGTCGTACTTTTTCGTGTCCATGATTATTATTCCCCCTCCTTTGTCCGCTTGTGTCACAACTATGTTTTTATCGTTAGCCAACTCTTTCAAGGCTTTCATGTACCTTCTTGGTAAATAGCTTGGCTCATTGTCTGCTAAGGCCTTGCAACAGGTTAGCACGCCTTGAATAAAGCCCTTATCAGCATCACTTTCGTTGAATTTATAGTTACGTTCAATGTGTTCTGCCAATGTATACCTATCTTTACCAGAATCGAACTTGAGTCCCAGCGCAAGAGCTTCTTTTTCATCGTCTGTGAGTTGTCGGGATGATAAGTTTCGCACAATGTCGATGTTTCCGGCGTCTTTCCATTTGCTGTTCTTGCAGAGATCGTTCAGTTTTCTTTGTAGGCGTTTTTGTTGTTCGGTGTTCATTCGTTTCAGCTTCGCTTCGTGTGTCTTCGTCAGTCGTATCCCTCTTCTTTGTTCGTTTAAAATATATATATTATCTTTGATTTCAGAGCATGCTTCTTCTAAGTACGCTTTCGCTACATGCTTCATGCATCGCTACATGCATCGTACATGCTTCTTAAGTACGATAAAAACATAGTTGTGACACAAGCGGACAAAGGAGGGGGAATAATAATCATGGACACGAAAAAGTACGACGAGAAAATGGAAGAAATGCTCGATGATGAAACAAGCTACAGAAAGATGAAACCAGGGCACGGCAAAACCCAAGGAGAAAGTTTCAACAAAAATGTGAGAAAAATCCTTAAAAAATCAGAACGAGGAAAGAAACTGTACCATTTACTCGAAGAAGCGCCAACTCTACCTAAAATGAAAGGCTTACCAAAAGTCCACAAAGAAGGGATGCCGATGCGACCTATAACGTCTGGAATCGGAAGCGCACCTCACAGGCTAGCCAAAGTGCTAGCCAAACCTCTTTCTAGATCTCTTGGTTCCATAAGTGACACCCACATCAAGAACACGTCGGAGATGATGGACAAAATTAGTGAAGTGACAGACGTAAGTGACAAAAAGATAGCAAGTTTTGACGTTAAGTCTTTATTCACAAATGTCCCAGTTGACGATGCATTAGAGGCGATAGGAAAAGTAGTCGAACGCATGGCCGACGACGAACTACCTCTTCCGAAAAACGACTACCTAGAACTTGTCAAAATATGCATGAAATTCAACTGCTTTTCATACAAAGGAAATGAATACGTCCAACACAGTGGGCTTGCAATGGGGTCCCCATTAAGCCCAGTAGCAGCATGTCTTTTTATGGAAGTACTCGAAGAAGAACATTTTCTCAAAATTATTGGTGACGACTCTACTTGGCTTAGATACGTAGACGACGTACTAGCAATCATTCCGAAAGAAACTGACATTTCTGAAACGCTGATCAAACTGAATGCTGTTCATCCAAACATACAATTTACAGTTGAAGAAGAACAAGAAGAAAAGATGGCCTTTTTAGATACATGCATCGTAAAGTCAGCCTCAGGCTTCAAATTCAAAGTCCACAGAAAACCGACAAACAAAGAGGATTATGTGCACTTTTACTCAGCACACAGTCAAAGGACGAAAAGCGGAATAGTTATCGGTTTCTTTCTCAGAGCGCTAAGAATCTGCAGCGATGAATTCATTCAGGAAGAGTTCAATCATATTTATACTTCGTTCGAAAAACTGAAATATCCCAGAGGATTTTTAATCAAACAAAAAGAAAAAGCCGAAAAAATAAAAAATCGAAGAAACGAACAAAACAGAAGATACGAACAAGAAACGAACCAAGCGCAAAACGATGACACCAACAGAAGACTCGAACAACGTACGAACCAAGCAAACGGCGACGATGCCAACAGAAGAGACGAACAACGTGCGAACAAAGCACACGAAGATGACACGAGAAGAAAAGCCAACAAAAGAAAGAGATGGATTTCGGTCCCAAATTCGAAAAATATTGATATCATAGTACGAGCACTTGAAAAGTCAGATATCAAAGTAGCTACAGTAACAGGAAAGAAAACTCAAGATTTAGTCAAGCACCATGAAACCAAAAAAGATACCAGTGATGAAAAAAGTGTAGTTTACGAAATACCATGCAAAGGGTGCCAAAGAACGTACGTTGGGGAGACGGGAAGAGGGGTGGAAGTTCGTTTGAAGGAACACAGAAGCGATGTAAAATTTCACCGAACATCAAATGCAATAGTACTGCATATAGAAAAGTATAACCACTTACCTGACTGGGACGGTACGAAGATATTAGAAAACAATATAAAGAAAGGTACAAGGAAGGTCCTGGAAGCAGCCCACATCATCACACGTGATACGTTTAACAGTAGGAGCGGATTTATCACATGGTCGTCAATGGCAGCAAAATCGGTGGTAGACCAGCAGACGAAGAAAACACGCGGCTGATTAATTTCAAAGAATTTTTAGACGGTTACAGCGATTGTTATACTCATTTGCACAGTGATCAAGGTTCTATGAACCGAAAGCTTTGTGTGTCTTTTTGAATATATTTGAATGCATTTGTAATAATTTGGTTTATTATTTACATCATCATCCAACCTGTCATGGATACTCAACACTAGTATAAGAAATCAAGGGCGCAATACCTACAATGAATAGCATCCTATTTTGACTGCCGAATAAATGACATGAAATAGCGTTTCAAGACAGAGGTAAGAGATCAGAATATTTCAATATTAATACGTTGATATTCATATTTAGCATAGTGCTTACTGCTTAATATCATCATTTTCCAACACATTTATCACTTACCTGATGATCTTGGCTCGGACAAAGAACTTGTTCCGCACATCGTCGTTCATGATAAGGTCGAGATATCGCTGCCTATACCTCGTTTCCTGGAACGTAAACAAAACCCATCATCGTCGGATGCTAACGTAAACACGAGCTTCAATAACCACACGAATAAGGTAAACAATTGTCAAGGGATTGGAAACGAGACTCGTCTATGAAAATAGTCCAATAATAGGGAACACTTTTACTTTGTGACTTAGGCGCATCACGACTTACTTTCAGACAAGCACTGGTGTCATTGTGCGGCCAATTGCTTCGTCCTCTCACCTTATCTTTGAGGCCGTAGTGCATGGAGGGCAGCATGTGCAGGCAGGGCGTGAGGACCTGCAGCTGCTGCGGCACCACGGACAGCTCGCCCTTCTTGGTCTTGGCCGGGTGGCCGGTGACGCCGACAATGTCGCCGCGCCGCAGCTTGTCCGTGTCGGCAGCGAACTCGTCCGGACACCCGTACAGCTTGTAGTTGGCCATTATCTGGGGTGTGCAGAAGACAGAGTTAGTGGGCGAAACTTATCGATCAGCTTTGCTTTGATACTTATTGTGAATGATACAGATAAAAAGACGCTGAGTATCTTTTACGTCTACGTCAAGAATCATTGCGTCTTATAAAAAGCCCCTCCTTATAACAACGTAGGTAAGTTCCTAGGAATGCAATATGCATATTGCATAGGTGTAAATAAGAAGTGATTTCCGCACATGATCCAAGCCTGTAGCCATGCATACATGCATGCTCTAGCAAGCCTTTCTCGTTTCAAAGGCACCTAGAATGGTATCCATAAATTATAGCGACTGATACGGGAAAGCCCAGTCAGCGGTGACAGACCAACCCACACGACAGCTGCACAGCACCCAACGACCCAGGATGTCACCCTCTGATAGCCTGAAGGCCGCCAGGGTCGGCGGGGCCGGGGTGACCCGGTCCGCCACCGCGCCTAGGGCCTGCAGTTACTGGCAGATGCCGGGCACGAGGTCTGGAGGGCTAGTAGAATAAGACCCTGCTGTTCTCTGCAACGAACTCTATTACTGGTTTCGGTCGCATTCTCATCTTTTTACAACTTATCATGGAAACTTATTTTCTGTGTACCTGTGATGTAAGCCGAAATGTAGGCAATTGCTTCGCAGCATCTGCAAACTCCGCTTATTTTACCTTCGTTCCATACACCTTATTGATCAAGCCACTTCGCAATCCTAAGAAAACTACGCTTGCGCTCCAGCAGCTCACCTGAATTTTGACGCCCTCGCCGCGCAGGTCGTAGAAGCGCAGTTTGGCGCTGCTCTCGCGGATGGAGTGCACTCGGCCGGCCACCGAGACGGTGACGTCCTCCACCACCGAGCCGTCCTCGATGCTGCCGTACGAGCTGATGAACTCCTGTAGGCTGGTGGTGACGTGGAACTTGTGCGGGAACGGGTTCTGGCCGGCCTCCTTGGCCGTCGTGACGCCCGCCACCCGCATCTTGTAGTACTCCTGATGACACAGCGAGACGGAAGCGTAAGGTGAAACATCGGAACTGTTAAGCTACGAAGACAAGATGCCCAGGATCACGGAAATAAAGGTAATCTATGGATGCATCTTGCAGTGATACACGATTATTTGTATATCGTAAACCACCTATGTGGTTAATTTGGACCGCATAGCCATATACGAACTTTTGAATAAGGCGACTGAAAGCCCAATTAGCAACTCAACTACGCTTCCTCCCAATCCTACAAGCTCGTATTTCACCGGAACACTGCTGAACGCTTCTCGGAGCATTCCCGAATGTTTCTCGGAACACTTTACCACCGGCAGCGGCGGAAGCTTCCCGTTAATGACCGCCGGACACGTACATTTGCGGTGAGCTCGCCCTCGGCGGCGGCTGACGACTTGGCGGCCTCGGCTCCGGCGGCGGCCGGCGGACGCTGCGCCCCCCGCTCCTTCTCCTTCTCCAGCCGCTCCTGCTCCTTCTTCGCCTGTTTCTGTCGCCGTTTCAGCTCACTGCCGGACGGAGAGGGTCGGAAGCACGGTTAGGTTTGGAGGCATTACCTTACCATGCTGCTGCAAAAATAACGATGGTCAAGGTCAGCCTAGTTGTTACTGCTAGGACCGTGGTGCGTAATGTTTTTATCTAACTGTTAAATACAAGACAGCTATAATTCATTGACATCAGCCCGTCAGCAGTGATGGTTCACGATTCATTGCACATCTTTGATTTGCGAATCAAATCTCGTTTTGCGAAGAGAAGGGAAAGCTTATTCACAGCTCAGAGAGCGAAGTGAGCCGAAACCCGGATCGACAGCGCAACTGACATCCGATCGATTTGCTCATTGCGCTCAGTCGCCGGTCAGGCGACCGTGACGACTGACGTGGCGGTGAGAGGGCCGGATACGGCGGATGGTTTGCGGTCACAGTCCCGGGAAGACGTGGGACCCGGGACCGGGAGGGAAGGTGCCATTCGCTGGCTGACTGAATGTGAAAATGTGAGATACAATGAGAAAATCAACTTTACCAGAGACATGGTTGACTGAAAATCATGGCATTCACCTTCGCAAATTTGCACTACAAACATTTTAGTCAATAACAAGATGAAGTGATGTAAAGGTGAACTGATGAAGTGAGCTCGAGCGCTTGAATGGATGGAATTACACAACCCGAGCCCGTGCGAGGTAGAGCTTGTGCAGGACCCGGCCCCCTTCGTCAGCCCGGTCCCGGGCTGAATCATGTGTATGTAATGTGATGACAAAGTTTAGCATTCCAATCAAAGGCAGACATAGCTCGTTTCAATTAGCTGACTAAAATAGCCCTGGTTGCTGGCACCAACAGCTAACCATCCCCGAGGTGACTATAGCATATCGAGCGCCAGAACAGCTGCTCGGGACCGACTTTCACAACCAGCGGGTTTATGCTCCTTTATCTGAGCCACGACATGGAAAATGTTCCTACTATCAGTCACTGGCATGAGCCGAAGAGCCGATCGCCGCCTGACCAAATCATTGCAAAATACAACTCCTCCTAGCCACAAAATGCATTCCCTAAACATGTACGAAACCGAGCCTCAAAGGTTTGCCAAACTGTGTTTCTGTACGGAAGATTCCAGCAAATGCAGCGAAAACCGAGTACGGGATACCTACAGGTGCGTCTGTAGAATCAGCTGACAAATCGACCTGTTGCCTGTTTCACGGCACACCGCTACAAGCCACTACAATGTCTGGCATTTTTGTTATGGTGGAAATGCAAGCAAATAATTTTTAATTTGGTAATTTTTCTCATCTTTCTGTGGGAGCCAAAACATCAACATCTGATAATGGTGTGCCATAAAACAGGGCCGAATTGCCGCTGCTGGCTCACCTGGTGGTGGCCAGGAGCCGGCGCTGCAGGTCAACAGGGCGGCAATGCAGGTCAGTGGAGCCAGACAACCCCGCAACCATCCGACCCCAGCCAGCCACCCTGTGCATCTGCCTCAGGCGACACCAAGTAGACATCCCCAGTCGGCAAGACATTTTCAATGGCATCTGCAACACGCCATCACGGGATCTGATTATGGCTGTGTTATGAGTGTTTTTAAGCTTAACAAACAATAGTAGCCATCAATGCTAATATCAGGCATAACAAACAAAAATGTTGCCATACCTAGACTTAAGAATTGTTTTAGGTACCAGATTTCCAATAATTATTGGAACTTTTCACTAAAAATTTCAGAAGCCAGGATCAAGGAAAATACTTTGAAAATATCAGAAAGCCGTCCTAATGTAAGAATATAGACATTCCAAAAAGTCACATGGTTCACATCTGCCATTAGGCAATGCCGCAGGTTTAGTTTTAGGTCAGTTGTCTACAAAGTTCATGGCTTGCAAAGTTTGAGCTGGCAATTATAGGTACTTGAAGGTTTTCTCAAAGCATCTAACATGGCTAGGTACCCCTATTGGCTAAAACACCCAGCTTTGAAAGTTCATCACAAGACCAAAATCAATAAGCAGGTAAACTTAATGTCAATAAATTGTACGTTAGCACGTTGGTTTGATAAAGGCCAGTGGCCGAAAGCTCACCGTTTTTTTTTTTAAATATATTGTTCGGCTTTTTACATTTTTGATGTCGAGGAAAAGGTCAACATCTTTTATTTATCTAATTATATTTAATATGTTCCTCGCTCGAGCACTTAGTAATATTATCAATAAATTGTAAATTAAATTGCAGACCATGTTGAGCAGAGACCAAAAGTACTTCTGAATTAAATTGCGTGTTATCCACAATGGATAGGTTGTCTAAAAATTACGATGCTATTCACTCACACAAACGTACAGGACTTTGGTATCACATATACATCTTGATCACTGAATGCAAAGTCATTAAGTCATATGATATTAAAAACTTTGTCATTATGTATAGTTGAACAACATTATTTCTGACTTATAGATTTATCACCTTAACATGATTGCGACGCCACAATATACCCTGAATGGGATAACACCGCAACCCAACCAAACAAAATCTTCAATTTTTATGCAAAAGCTTATGATAAAATGACAAAACATAATAAACATAAGCACTTAGCTATCGAACATCATGTGAATGCATCATGATCAACATATGGTTCTGATGTAAAACGAGGGAAATGATGGGCTTAAATTTCACAACTTACTTCTTTGACAGCTTTTCTCCCTCTGCTGGATCGCCCATCTTGTATAAATACTAAAGCGCAAGCAAAACCAATAACGAAATTAAATTATAAAATGAAAACACTCAAGTATAACACCCATGGCAACCCACACAAAACTACACAGAGAATCTTGGAGAGATCGCATACAACAAACACAAGGGGGAGAAAAGCGGAATCAGCGAATGCATTGCTAGTGAGAAAAATTAAAGCTGTAAATATTATTGACGTCATTGGTAAAACTAGTGCTTTTTGTGGAAAATGAAAAGTTACATCACTGGATGAACAAAACAAAGAAGCCAACCGGGCTAACTATCTTTAAAATAATTTATTTTCACCTTAAACACCTAACACTAATGTTGCTTCACAGTTTTTTAATTAATTTTACACAAAAAAGAAAAAAGCCAATGACGTCAATTATCATTTTGAATAGAAGTAAGGATGAAAATTTACATAGCTTTGATGAAAGCTATGCGTTAGAATTGTAACAACTGCGCCGGCATGAAAAGAAAAAGTGGCAGCTAATTAAAAACTATATTGATAAACCTAATGCAATAGCTAAATCTGCCTAATGCTGAGAAGTAATAAGGCTTCGCTCGCTCCCACACTCCTTATACCTGATAGGGGAGACCCGGGAGGTATGGGCCCCCTGGAGGTATGGGCCATCGCAGTTTTGAAGAAGTGTTGCGTATTTTTACACATTTGACGGCGTTAACTGGTAGCAGCCATTCAGTGATTACATCCCACGTGATTTTCAAAATCTTCCTCAGTCTTCTTTGGCAATGAGCGGTGATAAAGCGTTTTTGCCCTCTTCGAGTAAAATACGGTACATACAGAAAATTCGTGATAAATTTGAACCAGGCTCGTTTTATGATGTCAGACCATCGCTAACATAAAGTTTAAAGCATGCAAATTAAGACTGGATAGACAATTTGAAGCTTTCTTGCAAGATTATGAGCTGAGAGGCTACGCACATTCTGGCGTCCTAACCGGGAGGTTCGGGCCACCCACCCCCGTTGATCCTAAATAAATAAAGATGTTGATTTCATTGAATATCTCCGTCAACATGTTTTATTTTTGTCGCGCAAGGTCGAAAATTTAACTTCAAATTTCATTCGAACAGAAAAATATTATTGATCTAATTTCATGGTGTATGCTTGAGTTTACCAAAATACATATGGACCCAAGTGACCCCCATGAAGTAAGCTGTTGGCCGCTTATGCGGTTCCTGGGCTCTAAGATAGATCAAGGTAGATACCAGCTACGAGTATATTCTCATTGTCGAGAAAAGAATATGAAACATGGCACCGGCCCATACCTCCTGGGCCATGGCCCATACCTCCCGGTGTATTTTGATGGATCGAAAAAGCGCATGAGTTATTGAAAGTTATCTCGAGACAAAATAGTTGGTCCCAGATGCCTAATATCAGGCACACGTTGTAGGCGAAAGGCAATTTCACATGCACAGAGTGAAAAACCGGGTCTAGCCACTGCCCACTGGAAGAAAAATGCCTTTTCACAAAACCGGCCCATACCTCCCGGGTCTCCCCTACCCATAAAAGCAGAGCTGGGCATTGCGCAACTTCAGTCCGCAACTCAGCAACTCCGCAACTTGCAGACTACCCTCTTGGTAGCGGAGTTACGGATCGGCTACCGAGCCCAAAAAAGTTGCGGAGTTGCGAGTTGCGGAAGCAAAAAAAAAAAACCTTTTGCGCAACCGCTACCGGGGCCGCCACCGAAACACGGGATTGAAGCGAGACACAGGTTCCAGGACAAGTTCATCGTGTTTATCTTACTAGCTAAGACTAATCAATTGATATGCACATGACCTTTTTGGGTCAAGTTGTGACCTTGACCTGGGGTCAAATTTTCAGTTTGACCTTTCGGTCATCCTATATATCATTGATGAACTGGAGACCACGCGCCTTGATGAGAGAAATGTTATGGTGATTAACCCGCGCCAAGATGGGAGGGGGCATTTTGGCCCCCTTGTCGTTTTTCTTAAATAGCGAGAAAACGGCAGCGTGCAGCGCCGCCAAATTTTGGGTACCTTACCGGGCATCAATTTGACACCTTCACACAAAATTTCAAGTCACAGGTCACCTCAAGTCAGGAGTTATTGAGGTCAAACTGAGGTCATGTTCGAGTAAAAATGAGCAAAAAACATGACATCTTGAAACGCTCACCAATTCTACAGTTAACAAGCAATTTTAAAGTTCTTTATGTAGTTGTGTAGAGAAAAGACGGCGCTACAAAACTGCTGTCTCGGATTTTCGAAATTTTGGGATTTTGACCCCAAAAAATAAAATAAAAATTAGAAAAACTAAAAAAAATCCGAAAAATTTTAGAATTTCGAAAAACCGGACTATAGGTATGTGATAGTCCCTGCGCTATTCGATATTCATGCCAAATTTTAGATCGATACCTCTTTTTTTTGGCCAAGTTATAGCGAAAAAACTGTTAAGAATTGATGACGTCAAATTTTTTAACTCAATTTTTTTAGCAATTCTAGACCTCGTAGCGCAAAACGGAGACCACCATTGAACTCCCCGTGACCAGCTGCATCGAATCGATACCCAATTTATGCAAAATATCAACTTTGAAATTTGACCTAATTTGACCTGACCTTGACCTGACCTTGACCTGACCTTGACCTGACCTTGACCTGACCTTGACCAAAACGTGACCTAAACTGGCCCAAAAGTCTGCCTGACCCACATTATCGCATTTGTCATGTAAAATGGACCATAAAACATGTATCACACGACACTTTCATAATGTGACCCCCCCAGTGACCTGACCTCTGTGACCTGACCTGGTATCGGTGACCTCAAATAGCAAAATATGTGTTTGAAGAATAATTCCCCATCGATGATTTTCAATGAAATGCATTTTACTCGATTTTACTACGCATTTCTTGAAATGCCTGTAAACGGTGAAAATTCGACCTTTGACCTGACCTGTGACGTCATCGGTTTGACCGAGGTCAATGAAATTGGGTCACAAGGTAGTTCCCCGTTGGGGCTATCCAACGCCGTTTACCGCTTGTCGCTATATGTTGCGTGGTTCTCGAGATCTTAGGGGGGGACAAAATGGCCCCCCCCCCCATCAGACCGCGTTGCTCGGCAGACCCCATCAGGGCGCGGGTTAAATTGTTGACCCAACAGATGTTGCGGCCGTTATCACGCGCAGCGACGGGCGTCTGCGCCAAGTGCCAACTTCGCACTGGGCAATCAGTCTCAGTCTATTCTTCGGCAACTACGGTGCAAGGCCGATACTGTTGAAACTTGCATTTTGTACCCTTGACCTGACCTTGACCTGACCTCTGACCTACTTGAGCAAGAAAAATGTGGGCTCTTAAGATCCGCCTCGTTGAGAGCTTTTCGATTGCCGTTTTCCCCGTCTTTCTACGACGTTCGGAAGTTAGAGGGGAGGGGGGCAGAATCTGCCCCCCCCCCAGCAGGGCGCGTATGGCTGAATAGCCCAGCGGGGCGCGGGATAATGTAGAAACTTGCATTTTGTACCCTTGACCTGACCTTGACCTTACCTCTCACCTACTTAAGCAAAAAAAAATTGGGCTCTTAAGATCCGCCTTGTTGAGAGCTTTCGATTGCCGTTTTCCCCGTCTTTCTACGACCATCGGTTCGGAAGTTAGACCGGGGGGGGGGGGCAGAATCTGCCCCCCCAGCAGGGCGCGTATGGCTGAAGAGCCGAACGGGGCGAGGGTTATAACCCGCGCCGGGCCGGGGGGGGGGGGGTTCATGAACACCCCTTCCTGCGTTTTTCGCAGATATCTCAAAAACGGCGGCGCCTGATTGTGCATCTTTTCCGCACATGTTGTGAAAATTTCAGACTCATGTCACCTTAGGTCAGGTCACCAGGTCACGCCAAGTGACCTCACCTCAGCAAAAATAAGAATGCTCGTCATACTAACACCGACTGAACGATTAAAATGTATATCTCGGAATTTTGATATCGGTGACCTAAGGTCTTGTCAATTTTGCGACCTCTCCATTACCTATAAGTCAAAGTGAGAAAATTGAAAAGCGTCTGTTTTGTACGAACGTTTTTCTAGACACTCTCAAACATCGAGATGTAGGTAAAATCGACACACTGAACCGGAAAATGGCAACTGCCCCTCGTTATGTCGGTCAGGTCATGACCTTGACCTGCGGTCAAATTTTCAAGTTGACCTTTCAAGGTCAAATTATAGTTCATTCGACGCGTCTCGACGAGAGAAACATGATGCTGGCAAAAGTAATATGACTCTTTTGAGTCAAAAGTTATTGCCGAAAAAACACTTTTCGTAAAAACGGCTATTTTTGGAGTTTTTGCCCTCTGGAGGCTAAACCGTTGACCTGAGGTCCAATCTGAGAACAATACTCAGAAAGGTCTGTAAAAGGGCTATCGAATGCGCTTTTCCGAGGCGCTGTATAGCTCTATCGGTTCCCGAGATAGCCGTCGGCATTTTTCAAAATATTGAAATAGTCAGCATTTTACCTTTGGCGACCTCTGGTGACCTGACCTTTGACCTGACCCAAAAAATGACAAAAAATGTTTTCGTCCTTATTTTGGACCTTCTTTCGATTGCCGCTTACTGCATGTCGCTACGTGGCCCAGGAGCCGAGTTGGGGGGGGGGGGTGTTCAGACACCCCCCCCCCCCGGCCGGCGCGGAATCTCGGCGCGGGATAACTGACTTCCGTTTGTATTATGTCAAATGTCCAACCATTTTTTTTTGTAACGGTGTGCAGCTTATATGTTTAAATATATGATATGCTCTTTTTTTTGGCTAACTTTATGTCATTCATTCACCCTGTACATACACACATGACCTGACCGGGGACGTCAACATGTTCGGAGGATGAACGCAAAGGTATTTACTAAATTTAAACCCAACTTGTCAGTGCCCTCTAAAGATATTCGTCAAAAGTCTTAGGTAATCCTCCTGAAGGCAAAGGAGCATAATCTGCGCATATCTTACACTTTCGATAATATCTAAAAAACAAGTAGCGCATTGCGCAAACTATTATCCCCTGTCCAAATTTCTCTTCTGACTGTCCCAATTTCCAGCATACGCTGTGAGAAATAGCGTTTCCATTTTAAACAGCGGCTGATCCAGGGCTAATACTGATAAATTACGAGGTTTCCCACTGAGGCCATTCGCCAAT